CCCCCCCCCCCCCCCCCCTCCCCCTTTTCCCCCTTTTCCATAATAACCACCCACCAATCGCAAAAATCGCAGGAAATTCAAAAGACTCGAACTTAAACCGTGCCGAGAGTCTCGCACGAGCGAGTTCCCCCCTCGCAAATTCCAAGATGTCATCGATTGAAAGGCTTTCAACGGTCCTCTCCCCGGAACGCTCGTGAGACCGAGCGGCCTGGAATTCTCCGGATCGCTCCCATCAGAAGACTCCAGGCACCAAAGATCAGTAAGACCATTAAGAACTTCGATTCCGAATGACGACGCAGATTGAGAACCCGGATTCCCGCCGGGACAGCTTGCCTTCCCCGGGACAGCTTGCCTCTTCTCTGGGACAGCTTGCCTTTCCCGGGACAGCTTGCCTCTTCCCCGGGACAGCTTGCCTTTCCCGGGACGGGTTGCCTTCCCAGCTTCATATTTCCAATCCTATTTATACTCCCTTGTAATGAGGATATCCTCCGGAAACGCGTGGGTGACCTTAATGCCTGGGTGCTCCGAGTTGCATTTGTCTAATGTGACACCGCATTCGCCCACTCGACGGGTTCATCGAGGCCTTCCTTTATTGCATGACGCAGTTGGATGCTCTCGTGGAAACGGAAGTAAAAAGGTTTCTATAAATACTTCGACCACGCCTTTGTTATTCCCAGGACTTGTCCTAATTGTTTCATGAGGACGCGGGGGAATGTCGACTTCTTCCTCTGAAATATCGATGAAGTCCTATTTTAATCAGTTTATTTTAATAATTAATCCTCCTCTTTTGCTAACCTTAGGTCGGACTCCTTTTAACGATTCCGCTGGGAACGGGGTATTTCTCCGGCTCCATTAGATCGCTCGTGCTCCTGTGTGGGCGTTCAGACGAGTCATTGTGTAGGTGTTGCGCCATTACTGCTGCCTCAAAGTTATTAACAGTGCCGGTGCGATCGATAACGAGGTGCACGGAAAGGAATAACGGTAACAAATAGTGTATGAAACGAAAACAGATGCACAATGAGAGGCTGGCTGACAATGCTCCCACGTGCACGGCGCTCGTCCACGCACTGGGCGATCCGCAGAGAGGGAAATGGCGGAGCAAAACTCCAGTCAGACGAATAGAGAAACAGCCGGAACGAGATAGAGGAGAAACAGCCAGAACGAGATAGAGAAGAAACAGCCTCCGTATCAGATGGAAGAACCTCCATTGGATGTCGTGGCGTCCGAGTGAAAGTCGCTGGGCGAGGAGTGCGGGAGCGTTTGAGTCACTTATGAGTCACGATGCTCTCGTTCGCCACCCCCGCTTCCACACCGAATGTCATAACTTTTGACATTTGTTGTCACGTCATGTCGATGCAACACTTACGCAGCACTCACGCAAATGCCATTTCTGCTTATTACCTGATCGATGCCTCATCACCCGGTTTCTGAGTCAATTAGACCGGTTACGGGGGGGGGGGTGTATAGATCAACTCATTCCGGCATCACTACAACCCCTATTCCATGCATATGTGGAGGAAGCTGGGGAAGTGGGGCTTCATCCAGTACCCTCAGTTTTAGCCATCTCCTGTTGTAGACGAAGATATGAAGGAGAGAAGGGTGAGGTCCACCACAAAAAAAGCACGAAAAAAGTTGAAACGGCCGGACCTCTGTCTGGGATTACATCGCCGTTGTAAACTGGGGAAATTTAGTAGTTGAATTCTTCTGAACGAAACTGCTCTTCTTCCTTGCTCGTACCTGTGTTTTTTTTCCGAGTCCTCCCTCCTCCCTCCTTCTTCCAGCGCTCCAGCTCGTTTCCTTTTTTTTTTTACTGAACAGCCAGCAACGATGAGCGCAGAAGCTCAGTCCAGCACCAAACTTGCATTAGGTGCGGTTGCGACCATGATGGAAAACCGGTGGAAGCGAAGCTGTCGCGCAAAAAGGGGGGAGGGGAGGAATGAGGGGGAGGAATGAGGGGGGGATGAGGGGGGGGGAGGGGATGAGGTGGGGGCAGTACGCAGGAGGATATGAATCTGCTCAAAACACCACCGAAGAAATTGCGATGCAACTAAACACCTGTATCAGGCAGGAGCAAAATAGGTTGCGTGAAACAACAGGTGACGAAGAAAGAATGAAGAAAACGCTTTGCGAGTTCTTCCTATTAGTGCTTGCTCGATAATATTGAATAGAACGGATATAAAAAGCACTGTTTTGCTCGGCTTGGCGGTGCGGCCGACCCTCGGGGAATACCGATGGAGAACGAAGGGTTCACTTCGTTCGAGGAAAAAAATTTGCTTTTTTGGGAGGTTTGATGGGCTTTCCAAAAACAATTTTCCCCTTTGTGTGCAAGTATAGATTTTCTAAGAGAAATATGGACGTAAGAAAGTGAAACGTGACAGTCGAATTTCTCAGTCGTGCCAGGAGACTTGTACTCTCTCGCATTTTCATTCTCGTTACTCACGTCTCTTCACGAAAATTCACGAATCATCATTCATTGTACTGGCAATCTTTTCGTGTCAGATTTTATGAATGATGAAAGTTATCGACCATCGCCAAGGATGTCGATATGCTGTCATTATCAGAGTAGGCCCTTGGACTGTGTCATCGAAAAATTGCGGAAGGCGTAGATTTGGGCATCGCAAGCGATGCAAATTCCAAATTGAGGCGCCGGAAAGGTTCTCCACGTTGAATATGCTTAGACGGCAAGAATTAAAAATTGCGAATGCCAATTCCTGACAAATCTTGCTGTATGAACTAGCTGCGGATAGTTTACAACTCCATGGTGTTTTAGCGCGCAAACACTCGACTGCTTCAAATTGCTTCTGCAGGTGAGTACAGTCGAAGTCTTAGTCGAGTAATTTGCTGCAGTTTGGCTGAAAAAGAGATTTAGACCAAAGCTGATTTCAAAACTGCAGTCCAGTTTCTGTTCAGTTGCAGTTCAGTTCCAATTTTAATTCAGTTGCTGTCCTAGTTGGAATTTTTGTGATTGAAGTTGACGGAAGCCCGGTGGGAGTGCAGTACAACCAATGTCTGAACTGAAACTAGAACCGGGAACAGCGACCGAACTACCGTTTTGAAATCAGCCCAAGCCTAAATGTTTCTGAGAGTACAGGTATGGTGGGGGGGAATTAGTGAGTCTTGCAGCCTTACGCATTCCCCTCACGTTATGCTGACGTAACGGTATCCATCGGTAACCCTAGACCTACGGTTTTAGATTTCGTGACGAAAATCTGGTTGTGACGCACAGGTGCGGCTGAAGACGCGAGACAACAGTACGTTCGATCTGCAAGTGCGGAAATGGTTCACCCGGGAGATGGTGGGTCCAGTGTCCAAGATCTTCTTCCTCATGGGACTCCGCCTCTTCACGGGATTCCTTCCGTTGATGACGCACTGCATGGAGATCTTCGAGTCGGCGGGCGGCAACGTGAACCCTGCGAACGGTGCGATCGCGTCCGCGGCGGTCGCCCTCTTCTTCCACATCGTCTCGGTGGCCCTCGTCCGCGAGGGCGAGCGGAAGATTCTCACCTGCTGGTCCGGGATCGTCATGGGCGTGGCGGAGTTCGTCTTCGCCTTCTCCTTCCACGTGAAGGAGTGTCCTTCGTCTTTCCCAAAGGGCGCGGAGGAGAACATCGGCCTCCTGCCGCTCTTCAGCTTCTCCTCCTTCGCAATGGGATATTCCATCGGGGTGTCCACGAGCATGCTCAACCGGATGGAGGCGATACTGCCTCAGACCGAACGGGGTCAGTTTCACTGGATCATCGGGATGTCCAACGCCCTCTTCAGCTTCATCGCCTTGCACGTCCTCTTCCCGTTGAGGCTGTCCATCGGGACCAGCTGGACCCTCTGGCTCTTCACGCTCATCTGCTTCCTGCTTTCTTATTGCTGCGCCGTCATACTTCCCTCCCCGTCCCTCGAGGAAGAGGGAGAATATTTGGAAGGATGGTTCATGTCCACGAGGAGGGAAAGCGAGTTTCCTGCTGCAGGGGACGACGACCGGGCCTATGACAATCTGGGATACGTTTTCGATGAAGCGGATTCTCGTCGTCGTATGATGTCTACGATTTTCACTTCGAGTTAAACCCCACTTCCTCCCTCGAAATTCTACGAAGGAACGTTGGAGCTGATTCTCGGGTTGGAGGATTTTTCCGATTCGTGAAGTTCTTTTGCAAGGAAGCATGGAATTAATATTTTTCCCGATTGAACTCACTCAACAATGTCTAGAATCAGATAAGAAGTGACTGTCGGTTGTGAAGAAATGGCATGCTGTCACCGAGGCAGACGGCAATCAGGCCATCGAAAAGGGAGCGAGGAGGAGAGAAATTACGAGTCGAGGCCATGCAAAAGGCCATAGGGTATGCATAGGAAAGGGGGAAAGGCTGTAAAATATTCAGAGATAACCCAGAGAACCGTCGTTGCAGCTGGGGTTTCTCACGCGTGAGCCCCATCTGGATCTCTGCCTTTCGTCAGTCCGTCGGTCACGTGACATGCACGGTTCCACTTAATTTCATCACATTGAGTCGTGGTCATTCCATGGGATCGACTCAGTTAAGTACGATGTGACGGAAAGCCTTTTGAGGAAATCGAATCATCCCAAACAGCACGCCAGCATCACATGAAACTTAAGAGTGAGCATCACGTGAAGCGATGGTCACGAAAGAAAAAAAGAAGACCGAGATGGTAAAAATAGTCCTCGGATGACAGCTGCGATTCCACCAATCGTGCAGGATTGCGAAAAAGCATTTACTACTCCACCTCTAATCCCTCTCACCATTACACGTCCCCATCGTTCCACCTGTCACTTATCTCTCATGCAGACGGAATAAACGGAAACCTTGAAACGTGGCGACGCGCTCGGCCTCTCGTTGCTTGCACGTTGCACCCCGGCTCGAATCGTTTTGCTCGAGAGCCAACGAACTTGGATTTCGGAAGCTCCGGCATTTTTCTTTGAAAATTCAACCATTCCAGGTGATCCAAGTGAGCGAAATCTCAGGTGAAGGTCACCCTCACCTCGACAGTCGATCTTGGTACTTAAACGTACGTACTTAAATCGGAATGCGATTCAACTTGCAGGCCAGACCTGCAAATTTTCAAGGCGCCATTCTTTTTTTTGTTTGTTTTCTCTCTCTGACAAAATTATTCTTAACCCTTTCAGTCCTGGCGGGACTCAGGAATCTCAATTTTTTTCTCTCACACATTTCTCAGATATTTCTGTGACTAACGACGTTTCATCATGGAGCTTTGAGGGACAATTCGTTTTTGCATCGTTCATATTTTAACATTCAGGACTGAAAGGGTTTATTTTAAGGATTTATCTTCCTCTGTCTGGCCGAGAGGTCAGTTCTTGGGCACTTATGACGTCATAAGATGACGTCACTTAAAAATTTGCGTTTGCTGTTACGGTCCGTGATTTCTCTTTCCTCTTTTCTCTTTCCTTTTTCCTCTTTCCTCCTCAGGAAAAAAAAAGGTTTTGAGGAGCCTCGAGGGATACTTAAAAACTTTTATGGCTCTACTTTTATGTACACTTCTGATGAGAAAAATATTTTGAAATGATTTTTCCTCCCCAATAATTGGAAGAGATTTCCTCAGACGAATAGCCTGGTGCAAGCAGATCATTAAGGACTTGTTGATGAAGTCTTAATTTAAAATCAAGCTAAAGTAGAGCTCCTAATGCCGGAGAGCCTCAGCGTGATGCTAACTTGGAATTTTGCAGGTTTGGAAGTCGAGTACACTCATGAATTTTGCCTTTTCTGCTTTTTATGACTAACGGAACTTCGTTCCGCAGACGTTCATGCATAGACAAAATCCTGAAAGTATTATAGCGGCCAGACACGGAAATAAAAAAAAGCTAAATTCCGAAGTTCAATCGTATTCTGGGAGTCATGAAAAGTCTTTGGTGGAGCATCCATCACATTAAATAATAATTTTCCCTGTTGCGTGACTGTTTCTTCGCGCTAAAAAAAAAGCCAATAAATATGAATTACTCTCATTTCCCCACTTTTCTGTGAGCTGGACCCTATCATATCATAGTCATATGGGCTGTAATAAACATGCGACCTGAATTTTGTCAGCATTACTTTGAAAATCTTCCTTCTGTGGTTTCGTCGGAAATTTCGGTGCAAAGCTGGAAAATCCCAGATCGCAATTTTAATTTCAATGTAGATCATGTACCAGATTTCCCTCAATTTATTTGAACCTGAAACTTGGGGACCGCAGGCTATTGGCTTCTATGAAAAGGGTTTGTGGATCCAAAAAGTTTGAGTATTTGCACTATAATGATTTGCTGAAGTGTTTATAATTAGGTTCGCTGATTTTTTTCTTATGCTGAGATCTTCAGTCTCATGCTATTGCAGCTTAAATGAGCAAAGCATCAATGACAGGAAGAACGGGGAGGGGGGAGGGGGAGGGGAGAGGGAAGGGGGCAATGAACTGTTATTTGTGATCGGAGGAGGAAACAGATTCGCTCTGACAAACATCCTGGCAATTCCCCATGAAGCCGTACATGATATTCAAAGACAGGAGCAAGAATGAAAGGAAGTCCCAAGTTGAGGATGTTTTCGCCAGGGAGAGAAGAGAAATCCCGCCTTTCGATATGAAGTTCGCTATTGAGAATGAGAGAGCGCGTTGAATCGAGAGGGCTTCTCTGCATCGCAATCCTCATCGCAATTACCGAGTCTCCTGATCTCGAGGAAGAAGCCAGGAAGAATCTGTCCATTCAGGAGGGAAGAGAGGGGATGGATCGGCCAGCTGGGCTGCGGCGCGGCAGGGCGCAGGACGAGAACGGTGACGCAAGCCACGACGTCATTACTACGTTGGCAATCAATGAAAGAGCTGAATGTGGCTGCTCCTCTCTCTTCCTCTCATTCACGAGTCCCCGCTCCGCGAACGGCATCGCCTGTGTGCGCTGTGTGCTTACACCGTGCGAGACGAGATGAGCTGAGATGCCGGGACGGCAGCTTCCATGGCCATGTCCTCGTCGCCGTCGGAGAGGATGGAAGAGCGAGAGAGAGAGAGCCGCAGCCTGGCCCTGGAGAAGAGCTACGTCCACGATCCATACCAGCACATGGCCTCGCATTTCGCCGATGATGCCGACTATTACAAGGCCTGGCCCAAAGTCAAGCAGTTCCTGTTGGACCTCGAACCCGGCTCTTTCGTCTGCGATGCAGGTCAGTCTATCACTCCTTCCGTTCCCCTTTCACACTTTCAACGAATCTTAAGTTTACGAAATGACTTCATTAATCCTTTTTTTTTCCCATTAAAGACTCCCATTAAATTCAATTTAACTCCAAATTTCACTCCAAATCTTCATTCGTGCTGAAAACGCCTCCCCAACGATCGAATAGTCTTGATTTCGTTCCGAATATACTCTTTAACAAGAAGCAGGGGAAGCTCAATCCAATTGTGGGCTCCCTTTCAATGGCTGTCAGGAGCAGGAAGAGGGCACGACAGATCGCTTCAGGTTGGGAGTGGCATGACGATTCCCAGGTCTGGCATTGCGCTGGTTCGACTTGGAATTTCTCTGCCTTCCCGCGTGCAGCCTCTCTCTCACTCTCTCCGCTCGCCTGCAGCGGGTCAGCTCACTGTGGAGGTCGGAGCGGGAGTTCTGGTCGGTCGTATGGAACCCAGACACTGGATGAGGGCTGCGCATGCGCATTGGGTCGAGTTTCGGAACCGCGATTGCTGAGTCCCGCTGTGAACTACTTGAGCAAGATGTAACGTTCGCGGTTTACAAATAATTTCTCGAATGAATTTCACGAAGACGAACATAACCTGTGTTTTCCCTAATTTTTGTCTGCGTACCAATTTTCACGGCAATCAGGTCGATACATTTTGAGAAGGCGAAACTGTTAGGGTGGATTTTTGAACAGAGCATTATCCGATAATGCAGCTTTATTTCGGAGAAAATGCATTATAAATCCGGTAAATATGCATTATCGGATAGTGCTCTGTTCAAAAATCCTCCCTTAGTCTCGTAAGGTGGTCTCTTACATTTTCGGAAAGGAGGACTGTATTTAAAATAATTATTACATAATCATTGTCTGCAGTAAAAAAAAAAAAATGAAATAATGCATTTTCTCCAATAATATGAATTCTCTGCCTTTTAATATTTTTAACCAGCGACCCTCGGCCCTGTACTTCTTGTGTGGATTGAAAGTGCCAACTCCCACCACAGGTCGTCTTTCCCAACGAACTCATCCTTTGCAGTCCCCTGATTCCTGGAAAAGCCTTTATACGGGCCCCCGCAGCATTAATGCGACGACGAATAAAGGAAGACGCTGGGTATTACAGGAGAAAATCCGACACCCACGCGCTTCGAGGAGGAAGGGAAAATGTCAAACGATAACGAGGAAGATGACAGGAGACTATTAGGTGTAGGTGGAACTGCTCTCCTTTCCGGATCCGGAAATGTCATCCTTCCCGACCCAGTTCGCTTGGAGGAGGGGGAGGGGGGGGGGGGATGCATGCACCCGGATCACGCGGATATGCAGTCCGCGTTCGGCCGCATGCTGGGAGTGACGCGCGCGGGCTAAGGCTGGGTTGATTAACCCCGTTTGACGTCGATCGTTGCACAGCGTGTCTTTACGGGTCTCTCTTTCTCTCTCCTTTTTTTTCGTTTAGGTTGTGGCGATGGGAAGTATCTTGGGATCAGTCCCCGAGTCTTCAAGGTGGGGTCGGACCGGTGTCATGCGCTCTGTGCCATCGCCAGGGAAAAAGGTCACGAGGTAATTTTACCTATCTCAATTTCCGGGCTGATTTAAGTGAACGGCTGCTCCCTGGTTTTTAACTTCTCGACGCGAAAATATGGATTGCGAGAGAGAGAGAGAGGAGAAAAAATTACAGCGAATATCCTATTCCCGTCACGAAAGTGTTACGTGGGAGGCGCTAATTGTCGAGCCATTACGAGGGCGTCAGGTGGAAATTTCCGCAAAGTGATTGAGCATCGAGTAATGCGCCACGCGATTCCTCCGAGAAGCCTGAGCTCGGCACCGCGAGAGGGCGCCAGGTTCTCTTTCTTCCCCCCCCCCCCTCCTCGACTCGACAAGTGGCTCGTGCAGACGCAAGGGGATTCCTCATCGCGATTGCGCCCGTGATAATCCGGCGGGGGCATGAAGACAGAAAGCCCCGATTCGCTCATGCATGCGGCATGCCGATTCCACTTCCATCGGAAATATCGGGGCGTTCTGAGATACTCATCATGCTCTTCGACGGAGTGTGAAAAATTTTCCTCTCTCGCCCGCCATGGCATGCTATTCCTCCCAAAGGGGAAAAGTCCCCATCGCGTCACTGCCAACGTCTTCGGAAAACTTCCTGGAAGCGATTAATCGGGTGCAGCCGCTTCCCATCGTGCTCGAGAACATTTTTTTCAACCCCCAAAAAATAATTATTGGAAACGTGAACGCGAAATTCGTTCCCCCGAGGTGACGGTCTGCGACACCGTGAGTCTTCCCTTCCGAGACGAGGCGTTCGACGCCGCCCTCAGCGTGGCCGTCATCCACCACCTGGCCACCACCAAGCGGAGGATCCAGGCCCTCAGGGAGCTGACCCGGGTGCTCCGCATCGGGGGACGGCTGCTCATCACCGTCTGGGCCGTGGAGCAGAAGCATCGAAAGGTACTGGAGGGGGAAATGGAGGATGGAGGGGGGGGGAGGGGAGGGGGGTCGTCTGCTCTCTGTTCCATCAGTCTTTCCGAGATCCGATTTGGCATGGAGCCGCATTCCATATCTCTCCCTATCTCTCTGTCTCTGTCTCTCTCTGTCTCTCTCTCTCTGTCTCTCTCTCTTCCTATCTCTCTAATATAAGGAGAAAGAGTTTTCATGTGCTGGCTGGCCCTTGGCCAGAGCTCAGCTATATTAGACGAGATATAGAGACCCTCTTGTGTCATCAATCACATGTCTAGGTGGAGATCCCTTCTCCCTGTCTTCGCCAGATGTCCTCTCTTCGAATCGGCACGGATGGATCTTTAAAATTCCATCCCGATTTCTCTTGTTTTCGTCGCAGTTCGAGTCTCAAGACGTCCTGGTGATCGGAGGAGGAAACAGATTCGCTCTGACAAACATCCTGGCAATTCCCCATGAAGCCGTACATGATATTCAAAGACAGGAGCAAGAATGAAAGGAAGTCCCAAGTTGAGGATGTTTTCGCCAGGTAAATAAATAAAATAAATAAAATAAATAAAATAAATAAAATAAATAAAATAAATAAAATAAATAAAATAAATAAAATAAATATAAATAAAAAATAATGATAAAATAATAATAAAATAAATTGACGATTGGCCTTTCGATCAGGATCGGAGCGGGGCGGGGAAGGAGTCGGAGTCTGGACGTCCGCGGGTCCACCGAGCTGGCCAGCCCCTCGGACACGTGCTACGGATTCGTTCGTCGCGCGCTCCAGGTATTTTTCTTGCGGTTGGTGACCTTTTTTTTTTTATCGGGAGGAGAGGGAAGAAGTTATTGGAGAATCTGGAAGGTCTCGATGCACGATTCTCGGAGGATAACTTGATTTATATCGGCTCAGTTGAATGAAGAATGGTGGAAGTTATGAATAAATGAACGGACGAATGACGGAATGACTGGGTAAATGCATGATGGAACGAATGGGAATGTCTCTTTGGTCCCAAGAGAGGGGAATCCTTCGATACCTGTCTCCACCCATCCATTCCAAGCTGACATCAACTTCCCTCCTTCCCCGAATATTGAGATTGATCACGCATCCGAAAATAGATTTTGAAGCCCACGCTATGATATCCTCTTTTCCTCCACCTGCCGCAGAAACTCGCCGGAGGCCGACGCTCTCAAGGAGGACGGAAGAGCTCGCTGCATCTCTCCCGCCTCCCGTCCGACTCCACGGACGCAGACGACGAGGCGGACGAGGCCGACCTACCGATCGAACTTCGAATGATCGACTATTCTGTCCCCGAGGACCCGGACCTTCTGTCGCCCAGTGGGGCCCAGCTGGGGCACGGCGGGGATACGAAGGGTTTCGCCGAACTCCTCACCCACCTCTTGCCCTTTCCCCTGAGACCGAAGGGAAGACCCGGCTCCGTCGTCTCCGACTCCGGTGTTTCCAGCGACACGAGCAGGTCCAGGTCCAGGTCCAGCTTCTCCGAGTTCGGCGGATCCGACACCCGCCGCAGTACCAAGACCGTCTCCTTCTCCACCCTCTCCGTGGATTCCTCCGGCAAATGCAAGCTGCGAGCCTCGGACGGAAGCGAAGAGGCACGGGACAGTGCTGTCTACAGCGAGACGAGCGAGGAGCGACTGTCCCTCTACCACGAGGACTTCGAAGCCCCTCAACCTCCGATCCAGATCCCAAAAATGGGACGAAAGCCCTTATTAAAGCAGAAGCAGTCCATCTACGAAGACATCCCGGTGATGGACCCGCCGGAGAAACCGGACCGACCCTTCGCCATCCTGGAAGAGGAAGGCGAAACGGTGATCAGTGAGGATTTCGGCCGGTTCAAGGCCCGCCCCTTCCCGCTGAGCAGCACGCGAATCGTGATCTTCAAGCAGGCATCCCTGAACGAGGAGCTCCTTTCCAAGGGCACCCAGAAGCTCCCCCAGCGAGCTCTTCCCAAACAGACTTCCTTGAACGAGAACCTTCTCGCAGAGACGAGCGCGAAGCCCGCGTCGTTGTCGGTCGGGGAACAATTCCAACGACGGGCCTCGACGGGAACGGGAACGACAACGACAACGACAGCGCCGCAGACCAAAGTGGAGTCCATGCAAGAAACGCTGAGGAACGGATTCGCCAAGATATTCCAGAGCTGGCGGAGCGAGTCCGGTCAATTCCCCAGGACCGTGCCGGGCCCAGCGGAGGCCCGTCGTCGCAGTCTATGGCAGAGAGGCCATCAAGAACCGGAATCGAAGGCGGGGCCTGGCAGGACGAGCCTGGAGACCATCCTGGTCGAGGACCATCGCATCATCGTCCGCGAACGGAAGATGTCCCGAGAGGAGAACTCGGATTCCAGTTCCAAAGACAATAGTTTCCAAAGCGATGCCAGCATGGATTCCGAGGACAGCTTCGTGTCTGTCATCTACGTCCCGAAGCCGGAAAAAGGAGGAAGTCTTCACCGTTCCATGAGTTCGGAATCGGAAGCCGCCCCCGCGTCTCCCCGCTCTCCGATCAGTCCCAGATCCCCTAACGGCCAACAGAGCTCCAGGTCTCAGTCGTTAAAGTTTTTCCAGTCACGGAACCCAAGCCCCAAGATAGGAACTCAAGTGTTTCAACCTGGCATAGTGACACCTCAATCGGACCCCTCGGAACCGATCCCCGACGCAGGTACCCTTCCCTCCCCCTCCCTCGGACTCACCCGCCGTGCCCAAAAGCAACGAGAGCTCGACAAGCTGAAGCAAGACGCAGCCGCTCTCAGCGCCCGCATCCAGGCCCGCATCTCCAAGTTCCACGAGACCCATCCTCCCCCGTCCCCGCTTAACCTCTCGGCCTTCCCGTCCTTCAGCCCCAAGCCTTCCCCCGAATCCCTCCTCTCCATCCCGATCCCCCAAGACAAGACCCAGATCTCCTCGCTGGCCCTGGGGGAAAGCATCGAGATCATCCGGAAAGCGGGCTCCCAGGGCGTCAGGACCCAACACAAGACAGTGCCTCGAATTTTGGAGCTAGAACTCTTCAATCCGGTGACGGACGATCTTTCAGAGGACACCGATGATGAGAATTCGTCTTCCCCGTCTTCAGTAGCCAGTGTGATAAGCGTCGTGAACGAAGACTGGCCTCCAGATCTGGAATTGGACGATCCTGCCGATCCTTCCACGTGGCAGCCCACAAATCCTTTCTTGGAGGATGTTCAAGCCTTGACAGGTAAATGATTTTGAATCGTCTATAATTTTTCAGGCAGTACTTGCCTGGTTTTAAGGGTGGGATTGCTGGAATGGTTTGAGCTTTGGAATCGCCTATACTCGCCCCTTTAGGGCGTGCTCAAGAACGGTCTTCTCTCGAGCACGTTGAACGCCTGGCGACACAGTTGTCAGAGGATATTCTCAAATCAGCTTTGGACCAATTTCGACCTCGCTTGTACGGCCGAAAATGGAAGCGGGACTCCGACAGCTCCTCTTCGCACTGGAGCACGACGAGCAACATCTTCAGCAGCAGCCGGGACTCCGCAGAGGACGAGAGGGACAGAGACAGCCTGAGACGACGTTGGAAGCAGACGACGGCCACGACGTCGAGCAGCAGCAGCATCGACCTGAAGCCCCTCCCACCTCTCCGGCGAAAATCCCCGACGTCCGCGGGAAGGCCGATGGCAGAGAGAAGCAGCAGTTCCGCGACGACGGCCTCCGAGGACTCGACTGAGCTCGGGGATCCCGCCGCGTTTCGTCGCTTCTACCACCTGTTTCGGAAGGAGGAACTGGACTCTCTCATCCAGAAGTACGTGCAGAACCTGCACATCATATCCTCGTATCGCGATCACTCCAACTGGTGTGTCATCGCCGAGAAGGTGCAAGTATGGACCATCTAAGTACTAAGGACTCTAGTGCAGTATTTTTCTCTCTCGTCCTCCGCTCTTGTGATTTCCGTTTGTCTCGTGCTCAGAGGCTCTCCGTGATCTTCCTCCATCTTGCCTGTGTCGTCGGACCGAGGTGGCCCTTGCTCTGTGAAGAGAGAAGCGCAGGCGGAGTGATTTTCACTTTCTTAATTTTTTTCCAAATACCCTTTCTCAGGATGCATTGCTGAACCTCATCTATTCTAGCTAGCTAGTTAGCGATTCATTGCCTTGGAGTAGAACCACGTACGTTTGCCCGGCACGGAGTTGGACTTGAAAGAATCGGCTACGCACGTCAGCAAAGCGATGCACGTCGCGAGAGATGACCTTATCCATCTTATAGAGGAATATATTGTGGGTGGAACCTACAATTTACCTCAGGGATGGAACGGAGGTGCGAAGCAATGGAACTGAATGCAACAGAGGACGGTAGCGCTAGGTAGTGCCTAACAGGCAGTGCCTAATTGCATATTCCGCCAGAACCGCTTTTCTCATCATTTCCGTCAGTTCTGCATTCTGACTGCTCATTGACTTGCAGTGCAATTTTCTGTGAAGAGCCACATTCCCCCATGAAAAGACAAACAGCATTATGTTGTCGCTGTAAAATACATGTTCTATTCTTTGACGCCTGCTGCATGCAATTTCAATTCCATCAAAGGTTCATTCCTGGATCCGGAGTAGAAAACGCATTGAGCCAGATTTATCTCCTCGTATTGAAATTGAAACCCTATCTCTCCAGTTGGAACAAGCTGGAAGAAAAGACGCGGAAAGGAAAGCTTTTCTCCTAATTGCATTTTCGTGGAAATTCTGAGTGATGTGCTCCTCTCTGCTCGCATTTTCTCACTCGCCAATACACAGAAGTGATGCTGAGTAGCCCTTCTGTCAGCTCAAGCCTTCCCCTCCCCCCCCTTGCCCCCTCTCTCCCCTTGCCCCCACTCCCCCCCTTGTCCCCTCTCCACCTTCCTCCAAAAAGTTAAATGACATGGTGTTTCGTGCTCAGCTGACTCTTTTCTCATTTAGGCATTTGAGTTGATTTTCCTTTGAGCCTTGTCCAACTCCAAGGAATTTCCTATTTGCCTTTACCTGGTCCTTGAGCAATGTCAATGCCAAATTTCGTCGCTAAAATTCCCATAGATTCCGATAATTTTTGAAACGCCAAATCCAGCAAGAAATTTTTATTTTGATGATAATTATAGCCTAACCAATGAACTAAAGGATTCGATTTTTTTTTTACCATTCAACTCTGCAGTCTCTGAGATTATTTGTTTTGGAACAGGTTGATTTCTGGAAGCGAGGTAAGAGGTGAAAGTTGGCTCGGCCGACTGTCTGGCTCGGTGACCACCGAAGCAATGCAATGAGGTCCCGCCGCCGGGACGCAGTGTTGCACTCATTGCATTCCTCTCGATCGCATCGTGCCTATCCCAAAAGAAGCACAGCTCTTTCTCATGCACGACAGATGATCCGTTGCGAAAAATTCGTTTTTCGAGGTAGAAATAATGTCGATCACCGTCATGGAAAATCGCTTACCGATGAGGATCGTGAAATTTCGACATTATGATTCGGCATCCCCTTCCACCATCTCCAGGCCTAGGCACAGCGAGGTCTGAGGCCTCAGTCCACGTGTGATCAGGAGAAAGCTCTCTCCTGTCCATATAGTGAACTGTGACGTGTCTCAGAAACCTCCTCGACTCTCATCTATCAAGACTTCAAGCGAACAAAAAACTCCCTCCGGAAGAAAAAGAATGTAACGGTAAGTTCACTTTATGTTTTGGCACTGAATAACCCCCATACTTCTTCCCTGAAATCGTCTGTGAAAATGTCTGGACCGAAATCAAGAACTCAGAGTGAATGCTGCTATGATGTACCTCAGGTGTCCATTGAGGGTGTTCGATACCAAGCATTGTTCTCAGTTCGTGCATCACTCCGCAACTGTTATCGTCAATGAACGGAAGAACGTTTAGCAACGGCTGTCTATGAAGGCTGCCTTTAAAGAACATTTGTCTCTGTCGCTCAAAGCGATAGCAGACCGTACACTCGCATCAATGCGAGATACCACTGCCTCGTATTGTGGCCATTGCAAACCATGGAACGGGAACGGTAGCGAGAGGGTCTCCTGGGCATATCGGCAGTCCCTGTAATAAATTTGTGCACACACAAACCACTCGCGTGCATAGGGGTGTGGGGTCCGCGCCCATCACGCTACACTAAACCGACATATCCTCGTATCCCGTATTACAGTGCAGCGACAAACTTTCGCGCTCGCTTTATTTTCGCGAATTTCGTGAAGCACAATGGATCGCATAATCAAGTCGATGCAAAATTTTGTTTCTCCCTTGTATACGGGGTGGTCCATATCGCGAAAGTAAAAATTCATGAAATTTTAGAATAAGTCAAAATGTAAGATTTCGCGAAAATAAATCGACGCGAAAAGTTTTCGCTGCCCTATGATATTTATGTGTATGTACTTATGTATATAATCGAGCCTTGGCTGTCACTTGATTCTATCTGAATCTCGGGAATAAGTTGTAAGATCGAACTTGGTCGAAGTATATAAGCCTGCGTGGGGCGGGGGGCAGGCATGAAGCCCGGAGACTGCCCTTTTGCCCCCCCCCCCCCTCCCCCCCTCTCTTCGGGGTGTCTGTCTGGGCTCTGTGCGACGCGAATCAAGTTTCCCTTGCATCGGACAAATATTCCTCGTTTACATGTGATGTGAGCTGAAAGCCACGAGAGCTTTGAAGCTGATAGAGTTTGTTTAGTTTCACCTTTGCCATGCAGAAAGGCTAACATGCTGACGAATAATAATTCCTGCAGATCAAACGTGAGAGTTTAGGGGATCATATAAAAAAAATTATCCTAAAAAAATTATCATGGGCGAGGATGCCCATGATTTCTGGAGGGCCGCAGATTGAAGATCTGTAATAGGCGGGAAATTCAAAACGGTCTCAACTCATTTCTAACCTCTTGGCTTCGCTTCGGACCGAACGTGCGAAGCTGAAGTTGGCCAGATTCGTTTCGCAAGCTAAAACGAATATCGCGCGTTTAAGGTCTCGATATGGGCAAACGTGATCGCGGCGATGGGCAAGGGCCTCAGGCGGCTGACGAAACAAAAATCGGTGTGCTCACTTCACGTCTTTTTGTTCACGAGCAACGTAATAAATAATTTAAAAATTGCTTAAACGTCCGGACAACCCCCCAGATTAATACCATGCATCCTTTTAATATATTGTGTCTCCTATCGATGATAGGTTTAACGTTAGGAAGTGTGGGAAATGTGGAGTAAATGTGGAAAGGGAACAGTGAATATCGATCCGGAAACTTATCCTGTGGCATACTGGACGCATCATAAAAAATGGATGGATCATAAAAAATTCAAGCTTTTTATTCATATAAATTTTTTCTTCCTTCTCAGTGACCTTAGATGCACTCTTCAACCGAAGATTCAGCGCACTGGTATTATAGCCGAACCTCAGACGATTGAAAAGGGAGAATAAGCGCTCGTTCCAGCAGTAACCGGATAACCTAATTGTTCCAAAGAAAGTCGAGCGAAGCCCACGAAACGAGTATGCTGCTCTCTGTGACGACTTTCCTCTCGGGATGACGCCGTGATGGTTCATCCAACGGGGGATTTCTGTCTCTCTCCTGGGAGAAAAATGCGGAGGGGAATCTCGAGGGACATGAGCGATGTCGACGACCTTCCCGGCCGGGAATCGATTAGGCCCTTTATGGGATCAGCGTTCGGTGAGGAACACTTTCCCGGAATGTTCCAGTCCCTAATTGGTTGCTTCGCTCCCAGGCGAGCCTGACATCCTTCGCATTGAAGGCCAGGAAAATGATGATTGTAGGAGGGGCCGGGGGGGGGGGGGGGGGGGGGGGGAAANGGGGGGGGGGGGGGGGGGTGGGGGGGGGGGGGGGGGGGGGGGGGCAGGGAAAGGAAAAAAAGCTAATCCCACACAGCTTTCAGCTTCGCGGTCCCTGGGTTTTTGGACTCTTGAAGGACCTTAGATGCGGAAGCCGAGAGAAAGAAGAGACTGTGACGAAGGAACTTATGTTCTAATTCATGAAGAGAGAGGTTACATGGAGTGAAAAAAAGGTCCAGTTATATTAAGTAACATGATGTAACCCATCAACGTCATGTAACTGTCGATAGAAATATAGGAAGGCAAAAGGATTTTCGTCTTGGGAGGATTGTCTTGCTGCCAAGACGGCTTTGAAAGACATACGTCAAGAGGCATCTTCGTCGAAAGCTTTCATTTCATCTGGAGGGGCTGCAGTAAGAGTTCCATCGAGTCTTGTTCGCCTGGAATTAGACATGGCCGGACGGGGCGAGGAGAGTGATCGATCCTTTCTCCCCGGACATGTACAGGGCGTGATATTGTCTCAGGCAAGGCCGGTGAACTGGAGTCAGCTTGCTAATTGGAGCCTCACGAGTACTTTTGCATCATTTTGCGCCTTGAAAATAAGGCAGTGGGTCACGATAGAGAACGGAGTCGCGCTAAACGATCAGGCATCCGCCAATTAAGGATCATTTGGTAATCTTGCCGATATCTCCGGGGTAACGTACGTTGGTGACGTCATTAGAATGTGCTATGCGGCTGTTTTCTTCATACTGGGTGAACCCAAAGTTGCTCGACCGATGTTGTATCTAATAACGAGGAGGAAATAATCACATTTGATGTTCCGATGCACCGGATTCAGGACTGCATGCTGCATGTGTTAGAACCAAAGAACGTTGAGTGAGCTAGACGATAGAGCAGGTATGAGAGAAGCCAGTCTGGAAACGCACATGGGTTCCTTCGCGATGAGCTAGTTTTCTCCAATTGAAAAGGACGACCGGTACGACCGAAAAAAGTGACTGCAGGTATCAGTGCGACGCGAACGTCACTTCTGTTTTTTGTTCCCAGGCACTTTGGCTTGATACAAAATAATTTCGTTCAAGTTTGTGAATTTAATGGTAAAGTGCATTCAATAGCAAGTTATTTAAAAAGAGGCCGAAAAGTGGCAGCTTTTCAGCCTAAAGGACTATTGGGGGGGCAAATGAGCCCTAAAGAGAATGCCTTTTCCCACTGTGCAAGGGTGTGTGTAGGTGTCTAGCTGCGATAAAAATTCCAACTGCTTGATGACATCCCTGATTGGAACCAGATCTGTGCTAAAGTTCTGTACTATATTCTTGAGATATTGCGTGCGAGTCTGCCCCTCAGCCAGCTCCATGATCATATACGGGATAAAAAATTGAGAACACCGGAGATGAATCTGTGTGAGACGTGCTGAGCATCACGCGCGCCATTCGATAGACGTTCGCTCCTCGTTCATGGCCACGCTAGCAGGTATTTGTCGATGGTTTTGCAGACCAGGTGGTATATGGGTCTGCTTTGCATCCGGAATTTCGTCGGTAGCCTTCGACAGCTCCCTTCTCATGGATGGCCCTGCAAATGAAGTTGCTTTAGAGTGTCTTCCGGGCCTCGATTGAGCACTGTGAGAAGAAAGTGTTGGATTTCCGGACGATGCCATTCACCTGGTTTGCACGTCGAACTTCGAAGTTGGCTTCGAAAGACAAAATTTTGCGTAAAACTCGGCTCAACTCAGAAGCCGAATAACGTCTCGGAAAGGATTTTGATTAGTGAACTGAGGGGGAAATGAAATTCCCTATTCCCGTATTGTTTTATGGGAGTCCCATTTATGACAGGTCAAGGCAAGACATTCTGCTTGCAGAGAAGTAACGGAGCCTACTTTGCATTTCCGTGTACCGGATTTCCTTAAGGAATACGAGAAGATGACATGCAGGGACTTTATTAGTCCCGGGGGGCTCGATACAATACAATACTATGCAATGGGGGTAAAAAAAAAGTCGAAAGCAGCTCTTCACCATGGTGAGGTGGAATTTTCGGTGCCTATATTCCTCTAACACTTGAAAATTTCTCTCATATCTATGCAGAGATTTCTTTTCGAAGCCATCAGTGCCGGAAAATCATTGGCTGAGTGAAACTGCGATCACACTGCCCCCCATCGCAAGACGATGCGGAATGCGTGCCGAATCGAATGGAGAAGTTGAGTTGATTCACGACGAAGAGAGACGGGAAGAGCCGGGTTTGAAGGCCGATTTCTTAGCCTCCACCAGGTCTTCCGATCGATCCAGATGTTGAAAGACGAGCTCTCTCGTCATGTCCATAGACAACCGCCGATCTTGGGCCTGGGTTATTAGATCGATCCGCTCCCTTTGATCCCCTTCGAGCAACCTGTTCGCGACCCGGATGGAGTAAGCGTTCGACTCGAGCCCATTCCTGGGGCTGGACTCGGTCCACTGGGCCTCGTGGTCCGTCGGGACCCATGAGGTGACACCGCGCGACCAGGCATCGGTCGGCAGGGTGTCACAGGGCGTCACAGGGCAGCCATGGCTGCCCTCTGAGTACGTCGGGTGTGTCGTGCGGTTGCGTGCCGCAAAACGTCCAGCTTGAGTCGGTGTCGTCTTTGCTCAAAGTCAGACGAGCGACCCGAAGTTGATCACAGTAATATTGTTTTGAATAGTTCAGCGCAACATCAAGAGATTTCTCGGTCCTGTTGCCATCTATTTCTGAGGCCTTTGAGAAAAGTCACACCTACGTGTGATTGTCGCCTTTGATATCCCGATGAGCGACGTTTCTCTGAAGTAAATGTAATTTGCCGGCATAATCTGACGGGACAATATTTGGACTTCGGCTTCGCTAGGTGTTCTTTCTCCTTTAATTATCCAGCACAGAAACCCTCTCTATGAATTCCGTAATTATGTAGACGATTCCTAACGTGAAGACCATGGAATGCGCCATCGAAACCCCAAAAAATCGGTTTTCGATGGATTTCCAGGCGAGTCTCCACTGGAATCCTCGCAGGTTAATCCTCGTGATCCTTCCTGCGAACCCCATAACCCGCGTATTTGCGTGCAATCGAGTCGTTCGATGTCCGTTTGGAATTTTCTCGCATGGTCTAATCCGGCACGGAAAGGAAAGCCCCATTCAGTCAGGCTTTCCGGACAAGTTCCGGACCGATCCGTGTCCAGATGACAAGACGAAGTATAAGATACCCAAGTAACAAGAGAGAAATGCTATTAAAACGTTCGCTTCGAACACTTCTTACGCTTCTCAAGCATTGATGCGAACCTCAGCACCGCGTCAAAATGTCCCTATTGGAAGCACTCAAAGCAACAGAAGAACTCTCACACGCGCGAACTTACTTCACGAGATGCCTCCACGCTTTTTCCCTGCATAGTGTGTTCCTGGTCATACTCGAATCAATGAGCATTGAATCCATATTTTGAAACTCCTGCATTCCCGCCATCGATATTCTGATTTCATCTGCGTCCGACGGTGGATGCCCGCCGCCCGGCTATGGAGATGAGGTGAGGTGAGTAAGGTAGGAACAGAAATCTCATCATGGAGCCTTATACGAGAGTGCCGCATGGATAGGGAAGGAATTCTGCATGCGCAGCCTGTGATGTGAGCTGCTTAGCCGAACTAGAAATTGCGGCGGGCAGGCAGAGATTCAAGGGTGCGTGTTAGCTTCTACTGCGCATGTCGTGTGCTATTGAGAGTATCTCTACCAGCTCGTTGAAGATTGATGATTGGTCTATTATATGACAGGCTACGCATATTCTCTTCTTTCCGATGAAAGCAGTGATTTTTTACATTTTTCGAGGAGTTTAAATAATGAAAGAGATGTATCGACGTACTCTCCCTCAGACGACGAGACTCGATTCAAAAGAGTGAAAGTGAAAGAAAGTGAGAAATCGGTGAATCAGTCCGAGCGCTGCAAATGACATGGTTTCAGATCTGCGACAGACGAACTTCGAGGAAGTGCGTCTCGGGGAAGGAACCGGAGTGTGGAAGAATGAAAGCAGCAGGGTGCCACGTGCATAGATGGCCAGCCCTCACTGTGAGTCACTTTTGGATCCACGCCTCCGCCCTGTCATCAAGCGGAATGGACGCCGACTCCCGATGGCGCGAACTGTGATCTGCAGCAGCCGTGCCGAACGAGACCCTAATCGAAGGAGACCGTGGAGCTCCCAGGCCTCCCTCCAAAGCGGAGACACTGGACCGCCCTTAACCGCATTCGGACAACGCACGGCAGATGCGGCCATTTAATACATAAATGGGAAATCAAGGATTCACTAACTGCGAATGCGGGAGAAGTACAGACCATGAGCCACATCGTCGATCATTGTCCGATTTAAGCATTTCCTGGAAGGACTTAAGCAATCCACCTAGCGACTCCAGACGTTATCAATTGACTGTCTAACCTCAACATTCAGCAGTAATCTTATATATGTTTCCCTGAGCCCATTGCTTTTTGAACGCCATACGCAAGAGAGACTGTGAGTCAATGGTCAATGATACTCCTTCGCTGGTCGGGATCCGGATCCTGGAATTGGTTACAGTCGCATCATATTCAGGCTCTATTGAGAAGAACTGTTCACAAGTAAGGTACGAGGCCGGTGCCTCGGAGGAGGATCATCTATTTAAAATATTGAGAGAGATTCATGGAAATGGCAAATGATGACGCACAGACCTACAAGAACTGGATCTACTAACCATGCGTCAGTAGGCGACCACGCAAGACCGCGGAGGTACAGCTCGTCGGGATGGCTTGGTGAATTGCACCTCGTAGGGTCGGCCTCTCGAGGATCAAGATTTGCAAGTTAAATCTGTCATCCCGATCAAGGAATTTCGACTGACTGAGGTATTCTCACTCTAGATGGCATGATTTTTGCCGTGAAGAACTTCGTTCAGACTCAAGTAGAAGTAAAGGATGGCGAGGTCTTGCGGAAGACGATGGCGGATCAGACAAAGCTGTTCCTCATTCCATAAATACCATAAAACAAAATATTGTTATAAATTCCTTCTTACTCGAGGATACCATAATTTCGGATGAGATTCAGGTGTCGATCCATCGGATGGGAGCCGGTTTCCGAGGCAGGTGCTTTCTCAGTGCTAATTTAGGTACGCCGTCGTCAACTCCTTTGCATGCTAATAGCATGAATGGATTCCCCCCACGGAAGATGGAATGTAGATAACCAGGAACACGTCACCGTGGATAGCCGACCCAATGAGTTCTCCCCCCCCCCTCCCCCTTCTTATCCCCGAGATCCTAAGTTCAACTTTTTGACTGCATGCAGACGACATGAAGAAAGCCAGAGCTTACGCAGAGCATTTCTGTCCCAGATCCTTTCATCTGCTTCCCTATTCCATCAAAACTTCTTCCTTCGCGTTCAATAAGTCTATAAATCTTTTTCTTCTCCAGGGATTGTATTTTTACGATGCTAATGCATAAAAAAATGCATTCGCTGTTATCAGGGAGAGAGGGGAGGAGGATTCTCAAGAGATTAGCCAATCAAATGCCGGTTTTGGTTTGAAGTTTGAATATGCAGTAAATGTTGCAGAGATTGTATTATATATTCTTTTGAGTCAGATATTGAGGTCATTGCGAACTCTTTTTAAATAATGGGGACTTTCTTTTGAGATCCTTCTTCTGTTGGTCTCATGGATTATTCGTCAACACTCATAAAAAGATAACCACGAGCGACGTTCCGTATTCATAATTTAGTTTGGTGTTTTTCGCATTCCGTAGTCCATCGTGCGTTATCAAAACATTGGCCTTCGTTCCGTCGAGGCGATTCAATGCTGCTGTTTCTTCACCGCAGATCTGACGAGAGCCTTGGTGTTGGCCGTGGAAAGCCACTTGTGCCTGCTGATCTTGAACAGATTCGCCCGCTTCTGCGGATCGGCAACCAGCATGGCCGACACCACGTTCCTCGAGTCCTTGGAGAAGTTTTTGTCGACGAAAGCCGTGAACTTCCAGCGGGCCTGCTTCTGCTCCCGAAGCACGAGCCGGGTGTCCTTGGAGCCGAAGGGCATGGACTGACACATGAGGACGTACAAGGTCACTCCCGTGGACCAGGCATCGGCCAACGTTGGGTAATAGGGGACGCCTTCCAAGATTTCCGGTGGGCAGTACGATGGAGTCCCGCAATAAGTCGTACTGGTGATGCAGGAACCCTTGCGATCCACGATCAACCGGGCGAATCCAAAGTCACACACCTTGAGATTGTATTGCTTGGTGATGAGGACGTTGTCGCACTTCACGTCCCGATGGGCGTGCTTGTTGCGATGGAGATACAGGAGTCCGCCCAGGATCTGTCGGAACCAGATCTGGCACTTGGCTTCCGACAGCTTCTTGTTGTTCTTGAGGTATTTCAAGAGGGTTCCGTTCTCGACGAACTCCATGAAGATGTAGACGATCCCTCGGCGGTAGACGATGCTGTGAGCCCGCACCACATTGGGGTGATCGAGCCATCGAACCACCTCGAGCTCCCGGGGAAGAAACTTCTCGATGTAGAGAGCGGGTAGCTTTGAGGTGTTGATGGTCTTGGTGGCGACGGTGAGGCGAGGCCCGCTGTCCTTGCCCCTGTAGGTCGCCTTCATCACTTTTCCGTAGGCACCCGAGCCGAGGAGCTTCCCCAGGATGTAGCCGTGTCTCTCCAGCGAATCTTTTTCCCCATAGGACATGGCTGAAGAGAAGAAATGCACAGAGACACCGACATTTTTGCATAATCCTTTCAGACGTCTTTGCGAAGTCTATGCATAATTCTCTCTCTTCCTTTCTTGCTGTCTCTGTCTCTCTTTCTCTATCTCTTTCTTTCTCTCTTTCTCTCTCTTTCTCTCTGATAGTAATCAGTTTGTTGTCTCTCTCTCATGCACTCTCAGGTCAGTTAACTGAAAGCAACCATTAAGGAAAACCCAGACACTGTTGCACTGTTGCTTGAGCGCTGCTTCTCTGGTTGCGCCTCGGTCCACATCTACGCGCGAAACAATCCAATAGAAGATTACTTTTCGGTGCACGTAAGTTTCACTTGTATGAGTGAACTCTTGGCATCTAAAAGCTCTGCTCGACACCTGACGACTCTATCAACTCTATGCAAGCAGCATTCAGTCATTTTTCCTCAGAGACAGTGTTTAAAATCCCTTCTCGTTTCTTTCATTCAGTTCCGTCACTGTCCGCACCGATGCCTTGGATCTCTCGTTGAAGTTCTCAACTACATACAGTATTTCGGAATCGGGTGTCACGTTATTCCTGTCACCGGGTGGCTCAACCCGATCCAAACGTCGGAATGGGAGCCTTTGAGTCAAGGACTTGAAACACGATGCCTGCCGCATCTACCGGGAATTCTATGGCAATATCTGGCTATAAAAGGACGGGTATACCCCAGCATCTTTCGCGGATCTTTGGGGTCCATATGGTTCTAGGATCTGACTCGAAAACCTAAAGTCCGCAATCTGGACTGTGAACTGCTTTATGTCGAGAGTTTTGGCAATTTTCATATCCCTATGTGTCAAAAGTAAATATGTTCTACTCCGTCGCACTTAAACTTTTATCGTCAACGAAGTATTTCAACATAAGTATGGGACATGCAGGTAAGCATGGGTATTCGTTTCCAGAGTACCATTATTCCCGATTTGCAAGGGAAAGATCGCAGGTAAGCGAAATTTGTTACGCCCTATTTTAGAGTGACTCATGATCGTGTAACAGCAATAGCGCCGCTGAAGTTTATTTTGATTGATGCTTGATGCTTCGCTTTGCATGATGACTTGTTCCCTCTGATCATTGTGAGTTTCAAAAAGTTGTCGAGAACCATTACGGGTGACTAAATCTTCTAGAAGTGATGCGATTTTGTATTTCGGAGATCCTTTATGAAGTTTCACATCAATCAGGAAAAAAAATTTGTCATGAAATCACTGAAACAAAACGAGATGAGAACGTCCCTTTGGTGTTTCTTCCACGCTGTGGTACGCCCACGCCGACGAGAAATGCTAAACGTGAAATGTTTTTGACATCATTCCTTGGCTTGAGCAGCAGCATCCATCATGAGTTTGTGGGTCATTCCCGCGGAGAACCAGCGATGAAGAACGATCTTGGCGATCGTGGCTCGTTTCTTGGGATCGGGTTCCAGGAGGGACGTCACGACCTCTTTGGACTCCTTGGAGAAATTTTTCTTCACGTAATCCGTGAATTCCCACTCTTTGTTTTCCTGCTTCTGGATCGCCTTTTGCACGTTGAAGAAGTTGAAGGGCATGACGCGATTCATCATGGCGTACAAGAGGACTCCCGTGGACCAAGCGTCTGCCACAATGGGTCGATACGGTTGGCCTTTCAGGACTTCGGGGGCGCAGTAGGCCGGGGTGCCGCAGTAGGTCTTGCTCAGCTCCTCTTGCCCTGTCGTGGGATTCAAAATGTTTCGGGAGAAGCCGAAGTCGGCGATCTTCATGTTGTAGCGGCGGGTGATAAGGATGTTGTCGGCCTTGATGTCCCGGTGGCAAAATTTCTTCATGTGGAGATACAACAACCCCGAGCAGATCTGACCGAACCAGACCTGGACGTTTGCCTCGGATAGATTTGCGTTCTCTCTCAGGAATTTGAGAAGAGTCCCATTGGTGACGAACTCCATGAAGATGTATATGGTTGGGCCCATCTTCAACATGCTGTGGCATCGAACCACGTTGGGATGGTCGATCCAGCGGACGATCTCCAACTCCCGGGGGAGAAGATTCTTGACGACGTGCTCCGGGAGGTCGCTGGTGTCGATCACTTTGCAGGCCAGTTCCTGCTTCCGACTGTCGGACGGTCGCTTGAAGGTCGCTTTCCACACGCTGCCGTATGCGCCCGATCCCAAGTGCTGCTCCAGCACGTAGCCTCTCTCCCTGATTTGCTTGTTGGCTTTTTGCACATCTATGTCCTCTTCAGACATCCTGCTTCATCCGCCGTCTCTATAGAGAAGGATAGGACATGATTTTTTTCGTTCGCCCCTGAAATCATTGTCATTAGCGATGCGTTTGGGTTACACTCGCGGCGTTTTCTTTCTTCGCGGGCTGCGGCGATTGAATACGAAGGGTACGCTGGTAACGTTCATTGCTGCAGAGATGAAGCATGGCATTTTAAAACTTACCCAATACATGTTATTGGCACAAAAATGTGAATTATCTTGATCCACAGGATATATTGACTCTTTACAGGTACCTTAAGTTTAGGACACGTCACGAGATTTATCCTTTTGAAGAAGCATTTCTGCTGTCCTCAAAGGCACTCAAGGGAATCTCGAGATGACCACGATGCTGATACGAAAGAAGGGATTTTGCTGAATCGTATCGAGTGATTCCGTGACTTCCTCGTCTCAGCCTCCTGGAGCTTGACCGGTCCCAGTGTGTTCGTGGATTCAAAGGGAGGAACTGACACTTCGTGGCACGAAGAGTGACACCCACGGACATGAGCTACCAGGGGTCAGGCCTCTCTCGTAGCTCCTCAGTTGCGAGGTAAGCCGGAAAAAAGACTTAATGGAAGTAGTAATAATAACTGTGTTGAGTGATATTAATCACAGATGAAGTTCATTCGGAAGAATTTGAGAAAGAAGCCACGCTGTCTTGAATTTATTGTGCTTATTACTTGAGATCATTGATCTCATCGTTTCAGGCCTTCACTTTGTCTCCCCTCTCTTGGAATTCTGGCCAATATTAGTTTCCTTTGGCAATATCACGTTCAGCTGGACCTTATTCCATAGAAGATTTACCCTGGCATCCATGATACGTATTTAATCTCCATGACTTGGATGCAAGAGGTATTTGCATATCCTCTTCAAGGGAACGGAATATCGATTTAGCACATCCGACAAAAATCCCATGCACGACAAAAATCCCATGCACGAAGACCCATCCATCATGGACAGTGCCCAATAACTAGCTGTCGGCTTTTGTCAGGAAGGAACTTCGGCCCTTCGGGATGACCTTCGGAGTCATGTAGAATGGAGTTCAGCAAAAGTTGAGCTGAGGCTTGCCTTGTCTTGCTTGCAATTTGGTTTGGTATAGTCTTATATGCACCATAGGTCGATGACCTCCAGGATCCAGGAGTTGGAGAAATGTTGGCAATTGATGTCCCATACTTTGCGAGCAGTTAGATGAGTTGAGATGGAGGCCGAACCGAACCTCAAATTACTAGGGCAGCGGCTTTTTCCCTTCTTGATGCACTCGACTAAGGTTCCATATCCGGCCGGCACAATGAAGTTGTAGTGGATCTACGCCTTCTGGACGAAGCTTTTAGTCCGAACGAGATTCGGGTAATTTATACGAATCGCGGCATCGATCTCCTGGGGTAAGCCTTTCGGAGTTTGTTCTCGGGGACATCCTGGGGGTAAATACGTTTATGCTGGTTTGCAATTTTTTCCCTCGGGAATAGTGATCGGCAACCCAAGTACAAAAGAAACAATTTATGATATGACGGGTTATGTACGAGTGTATATCCAGTATTTCGCTCTGTGCAACCCTAAGCAATCCGTGAATGATTGAAATGAATATTTGCATTGTGAAGAAGGCAATAATCCAGATATATTTCATTCTTGCATGCTCACGAGACGCGCCTGTTCACTGGCGAGTCTCGAACAGATGATCACTTGTTGCCGAAGGTGGACCCGACCAGCTGCGTGGTGGTGGATGCAGTGCACCATTTATGTCGAGCCACTTTGAAGAGACTGACCCTCTTCTGAGCCGAGGGCACGAGCAAAGACCGGACGACGTCCTTGGCCTCGTCCGAGAAGTTGTTCGTCACGAACGTGTTGAACCTCCACTGCTGGGACTTCTGCTGCTGAAGCATGGTCCTGGTGTCTCGGCTGCTGAAGGGCATGCTCTGGCACATGATCACGAACAGGGTCACCCCCGTGGACCAGGCATCGGCCAATAGCGGATAATAAGGCTTTCCTTCCAAGATCTCCGGGGGGCAATACGATGGAGTCCCACAAAACGTTCGACTCAATTCATACTTCCCATCTGCATCGACGACCAACCGGGCGAATCCAAAGTCGCACACCTTTAGGTTATAGTGTCGTGTGATGAGGATGTTGTCGCACTTCATGTCCCGATGTGCGTATTTGAATCGATGGAGATACAACATGCCCCCAAGGACCTGTCGAAACCAGACTTGACACTTGGCTTCTGATAATTTAGTATTCTGCCTAAGGTAGTTCAACAGGGTGCCCTTTTCCGCAAATTCCATGAAGATGTAGACCGTTCCCCTCCGATAGATGATGCTGTGGGTCCGAACTAAGCCAGGGTGATTGAGCCATCGAATCACCTCCAGTTCTCTGGGGAGGAACTTTTTGCTGTAATGCGATGGGAGTTTTGTGGTGTCAATCGTCTTGCAGGCCAGGACGTCCAATTTCCCACTTTTGCGCTTGTAGGTGGCCTTCATGACCTTCCCGTAGGCACCGGATCCGAGGTACGTCCCGAGGCTGTAGCCATGTTTTTCGAGGGGGGATCCCTCTCCCCTGGCCATTGCTGTTTAGGGGGGAAAGGATAGACAAGCTTGCATTTCTAGGCTTCTTCCTCTCCCCTTTTATGTAGCGTGTCTGCGAAACTTCATGCACTTCTGCCGCGAATAGACGCAAAATATCTGAACTGTTTTGTGGGCAACAAGAATGAACAGAAATTGCTCATTTATGGGTGTTTGGAGCCGTCATCTCGTGTCGGTATCAAGCGGGCGGATATGAAAGAGATGTGGTTTTTCTTCGACCCTTTTAAAGGAAGCTGGGAGTAGAGTACCTACATCTCTGTCTAATTTTATTGAATGCTTGAGGCCACCCCTCACTACGTTCTACACGAAGACAGATTCATTCCCTCATGGTTCCGATGCTGCGCATCTTGCTGTTTTGAGAGAGTCCACGAATCTCATGTGTTCCGGTTCCAGGGGCAGGAAACTTCTGTAAGTATGTTTGTGGTGCTTCAGTGATGTCGAAGGCATTACAAGCCTGGTAGAGTTTGCAGCCATCAGGTCGAAAAAATTTCGGACAAAAAATGAGACAGGCTTCCGATAACTTTGGACCTGATCCAAGCGATTAGTGACAGGGATTCTTCATCATCGGCATACGTGCTCGCCTCGCGGTTGCTGGGCCTTTCTTCCTAACAACTGCAAGGGAAGAAGCTGGACTTCAGGTTCATCTTCCTTCTACACTGGAAGAATATCGCTCTTCCTTTTGAGGTACTGAAGCACCATACAGAGGGGAGAAGACCAATTTATTGACGTCGAGGCATAACAGCAAAAAAAAAGAGTGGAATCGCTTGGAAAGATTAGAGTGACAGTCCTCAGTTCGGGGAGATCTTTCTGGAAAATTTTGCATTTCAAGTATTTAAAATTTTCTAGAAAAATTCCCCCCCCCCCCCCAATGTTGTACAAGGATTGAATACGCAAGTAATTAATTCATTATTTTGAAGTCATTTCGATAACGACATGTTGCCTGAAAGTTTCACGCGAAGGAACAAAGAAACCTCTGCATTTGCTGCAAATTAAGTGCAATGACCTGGTAAGGTAGGTCAATCAACTCCATTGTATTCAGGTCATGTTCGGAAGCAAGATTCTATTGGGTTGTGCTGGTTGACCAGCCTACTTCAGGGATATTGCCGGAAGGCATTTCGGGGGTCTTGGCGTCGCTTCCGAAACAACCGGTCTTTTTCACCTTGGTTAGCGGTGTTCGGGTCAGGAGACCTTGAACCAACGATTCCAATAGACCTGGATCTGGTGCTTTCTCATCCTGAGCAACCGGTCTCATCAGCATGATAGGGAATCGCTTCAAATCATGGAAACAAGACCATCCTAATGTCCTTCCAGTTCTTGTACGCGTGCAACTTCAGCCCTTCTTTGGCCATTTCTCGTTGGGGAGGTTTTCGGCTCATCAGGGCGTGGAGTCCAGTCTAATAGATGTCAGAAAGGGCCCTTAGTGCGGAATGCCCTTGGGAATCTCTGGCTGGCAATATCCTAAGCTTCTACAATAGGTGTGACTGAAGGCCCTCTTTTCCTCAAGGGTGATCGCGAGTCGAGCAAAGCCGATATCGACGATCTTGATGCAGAAATTCGAGGTGAACAGAACGCTGCCGCTTTTCAGGTCTCCATGAGCCCGTTTATTTCGTACTAAGTCTGCCGGCCCAAAATGGATCAGCAGAAATTACAGCTGAATCTTTTCGTAGCGAATTAATTTATTTTCCTTTATATTCTTGAGAGGAATTCCCGTGGCCGACAAAACCATTAATATGTCAAATTTATCGTCGGTGTTCACGATTCTGTGTCATGTGACATTTAAATTCTCAGCCTGAGTTCTTCGGTTCTCGGCAATGAGAACTATCGTTGGCACTTTTGAAGGTGATTTCCGCTCCTCGGATTTTGCATGCCGATTCGACAGGGCCCATCTACTGAGCTCGGGGTAGTTGGTCTTCATGACTTCGTCAAAAGCTCCCATTCAGAGTGTGAAGGTAAAATGTAGGCAGTATTTTTTCGGACTTCCCCGTTTCCTCGTACTTCCGCTTCGCTCGTAAAAGCGTCTCAGTATTCTCAACTCGCACGAAAGAGCATGACAGCGGAGAGGGAAAAAGTGCGCTGAATCATCGGATTAGTCGCATTCATGTATTTTCTACGTTGCTGGCTCAGGCTTTGATTTCTTGGGAGAGTGAGCACCTGGCAATAGCACCGGCGTTTCACCCAGCACAGATTTATTCATTTGATGCAGATGCGTGGGGGGAAAATATTAACGAACGATGAAAATTATAAACTATGAGCTTGGGCTCTTTGGTTGCATTGAAAGTCTGTCGCTCTCAATGTTATTATGACTGACCGTTCGTTCAATTCAATAATTAATTGCAAACTGCACTGCACAGAGTGTCCTGGAATTCCTGTCAAGTTTTCTTTTTTTTTCTAGGCAGAAGCTAAGGTATCGAGCATCTTCGCAACAAGAGCACGAGACGGCTTTCAGATAATCTGTCAAACGACAAAACATGAATAATCAACGTCATAAACTAATTGAGAACCTCTTTCGCTTAGAACGAAAAATGTAAATGTGACTGGAATTCTAGGGCACTCTTTGTGCAATAAATGGTGCAGGAGATGGAATTTTTTACTTGAATAGCTTAATAACGAAGTGGACGAGAAAATATTTTCGAAAGTCGTCTTAAAATCTTGAATAGCCTGCTTTACCGGTTGCGACATACTCCATTTGCCGCATCAAAATGTGCAGAAGCTGAAAATTTCATGTGAATCCCTCATCAAGCATGACAAGCAACCAAGGACGGATTGCGATTGAAATGATGTATTTTGATATGCTATCACGCACAATGAAGTTATAATGTGAGTACCTGAAGAGGGCATCGGTGATGGGGCCGAAATGATACTGCATTTTCGACATAATGGACGCATTTCAAGATCCATCACTCTTAGCCAAATGTAAAAGACGTATGACGGTGAGTCAAAAAGAAACAGGACACCGGCGATTGTAACGAAGGAAATACGACTAGCATCGAGATTCGCTCATAGTACTGCTCGTTAGAAGATCTGCGCCACGAAAACGGTGACACTCGACTTTGCTGCCATCTCGTATGCCCCCCCCCACAATTAGGCACATGCTGAGGGTCTTGATTGCACCAAGGAAGAGTTGCGTTCTGCGATCCGTTTTTTGGTCACAGAAGGCGCGAACGGCAACGAAATTCATCGCATACTCGGAACAATTCACGAAGATAACTGCATCGCAAGAAGAAATGTTTACGAGCGGGAGCGAAAGTTCCAAAGTGGAACGACGAGTGTTCCCGGTCCAAACGAGACTTAACACTCTTGTATCGTTGATCAGAGCGATCTTTTCGCTTCGTTCTCGAATCGTTTCGTTTCTCGACGAGCCAAGAAACGGGCATTGAAAGCGTTGCACTCGATTGATCGCAAGAGTTCAAGTCCCCGTGGTAGATCACGTCGACATGATCTCGTCTTGTTGCGGACATGAACATTAAACATATTATTTTAATTTTTCCGAATCTCGAAATAGTTTTTCCTTCTGGAATTCACCTTGTCGATTCTCAATTCTCAGGAGGCTGCGGAATGGAACCATTCCGATCTCGACCGTTCCATCAGTGAGAATGTAAAGCCATCACATAAAGACTGTGGAAGTACAGTAGTTTCACAATACTCAAGCAAAAACCAATCGCTGTCAGCAATCGAGAGTATTTAAAGCCTCGCTTGTGACGACGAATTCCACACCGAGGCTCGTTATCGAAAGAAAGTGCCGATGACCGTGGAGCAACTCCATGAAGAAGTTTCCCATCGCCACGCATTGTTCAGGCCGTGCCTTCCCCGAAGCGTCTCACGGGCCAACTGAAGCCTCCAACGAGCGAATTCGCCCAACACCCTCAACAGGAGCGAACATGCGAGCGATGGGAGACTCGACCGGGCGTCATCGCACAAGCATCGTCCAACCAATGGGTGCGCGTCATCGAAAGCCGGGAGAGAAGGGAGCAGGGAGGGTCAGTCTCGGCTACTCACCGCGATCGGTGATGACGGTCGTCGTTATGGGCGGGTTGAGGGGATCGTCTGTCGGAGGGACTCGATTGATCTCGGGGCGATGCACATGTTACGTCAAATTTCGAAGACTCGAAAGGCAGAGAACGAGAAGGGGAAAGGCGATTCTGCTCTAAGAATTTCCTAAACGGTCAGGCTTGACATTGTTGATCCGATCGTAAGGTGCTTCCCGTGTCCGCAAATTCCATTCAAGAGCCCCTTTTTTTTTTCTTTAAGAATTCATTATTATACATTGTACATTCATTATTATATTCATTGTTATGTATTATCTAATTAACGTATGAGCATTTTATAAAGTCAGATGACTGCCCTATACGTGCCAGGCAGGCTTCGCGTATCTTCTGAGCTATGGACTCATTGAACAATCGGTTCCCTTAGTAACATATCCCCATACAGTAAAAGTCCCGACAGAGGCCCATCGATAATCCAATCCGATAATCCAAATCACCCGTGATGACGGCACCCTCCCTCGACCACGACCTGCCCGCGCCGTCTGCCCCCTCCCGATGTTGACTCGGCATGAGCAGAGGGACTGAAACTCGACAAGAACGGCCGGAAGACCAGGACCTCGTCAAGAAAGGCTACACTTTCGTCAAGAAGATCGGATCCGGTTCTTACGGGAAAGTATGGCTGGCGGAATTCCACAACGACGGCCGGTCGATGAAATTGGCCTGCAAGATTGTCAACTTGGAGCGCATGCCGCCCAAGTTTGCGAGGAAGTTTTTCCCCAGGGAACTGGATATCATCATGTGGGTGGATCATGCGTATGTGATCAGGACCCACAGCATCCTGGAGAGGCAGCATCAAGTCTTCATCTTCATGCAATACGCCGACAGTGGGGATCTGTTGGACTATCTCAAGAAATACGGGGTCCTGCCCGAGATCAACGCCCACATCTGGTTCAAACAGCTCACCCTGGGGCTTCAGTATCTTCACGGCAAGAAAGTGGCGCATCGGGACCTCAAGTGCGAGAACTTGCTCTTGACCAAGAACTTCAACATCAAGATAGCGGATTTCGGATTCGCCCGGTACGTCGTGGATTCAGACGGGAAACGGGTTTTGAGTGAGACGTACTGCGGGTCTGCGGCTTATGCGGCCCCCGAGGTCATCCGTGGGACTCCGTACAACCCGGTCATGTCGGACATCTGGTCGGCCGGGGTCGTCCTCTACGTCATGGTCAACCCCTCCATGCCCTTCGACGATTCGGACGCGAAGAAGCTGCTCCGGAACCAAGAGACGAGGAACTGGGCCTTCAGGTCCTCCGTGAGGGACCGCCTGACCCCTGCCATCAAGGACGTCGTGACCCGGATGCTGGAGCCGGATGTCACCAGCCGGATCACCCTGGATCAGATCCTGCGACACGAGTGGCTGAGCGAGAACACGTTAAAGGAATTGGTGGCCGAGCACGACGCAATGAAGAAAACCAAGGAGCAGGAAAAACGTGCACAGCCAATCCCAGGTCAACAAGCACTGCGAGTGCCAGGTAATCACTGAGGTTTATTTACTCACAAAGTTATCTTCAGTTTATTGAGTAATTTTACTATATTTTCTGCATTTTTTCCCTTAGAATTGGAGCAATTTTTTAAATCGTGATTCTGTGATTTGAAGTTTTCGCTCATTCGCGTAGTTACATTTTTAGTTCGCATTTTATACCGGGAGGCGCATGAAAACACCGAGATTTTTGCGTTTATTTCGCAACTTCAAGACGAGGCAGAGGCGAACAAATCATGGCACGTATCGGATTTTTTCACAACGCGCACAGTTCGGAAGGACTGCGCTAATGCTGCAAATTATGCCGCAAAAGCGTGCTATGACGTCAAGCTGACGTCTTTCTCCGGACCGAAATCGAGCCGATGAATCGAATGATCCAAGATGGATCACTCCGTTGCCGAAGAGAGGGCCAACATTAAACAGGCCTGGAATGAGATCACCGTGGATGACATCCGCAGTTCATCACTTGATGAAAAGCGAGATTCCGTGCCGCATTCGACGCCAATTAAGGACCTATTGCGCATTTTGAGGCGTGATTTTAAAAAAGTTCCCTCAGTGAACAGCTGCTGTGGGTGTACTCTGGTAGTTAGAAATTCGAAGTTATGGTGGAACCGAGGAGAAAGATGAATGTTTGCTTTATATGACTTTTCAGTCTCTGCTTCATCTGAAAGTTGAGAAATAAACCCGAAAATCTCTGTGCGTTTTTTGAGCGCCACCCGATATATCACTTCGATTGTCGTCGAAAATGCAGACCGCGAAGAGATTGGCGACAGACGACGAGCCCAGACCAAGAAACGGAAAGAGGATCAAATGTCTTCAGACAGCCTGGACTCCTCTCCAAGAGTGGCCACGGTGGAAGATCCATCAAATCACATGAGCGAATTGAAGCCTTCACGTGAGAGGGAGAGCCTGGGCGTCCAGTCCGGGTCGACCCTCTCGGCCCTGGCCACGACCGGCGGTAAAGCCTCTGTCTCCCTCAAGAGCTCGGACGAGCAGAGCGACGAAGAGGTGAGGAAGAAATTGCAGGACGTAGACCAGACCATGAACATGTCCAAGTCTTATCACCAGAGGATTGCGATGTTGAACTCGGTAACGAGTCAGATCGACCCTGGTTTCGCAAAGTCATCTCGGATATCCTCGATGCTCTCGTCCTCGAGCACCACGGCCGTGTCTACAGAAGGTGGAACGACGACTGCGTCCACAACGACCGCGGCCGCACCGAGCGGCCGCACGGCAACGTGGACCCAGAGCGACTCCTCGACGGGGGCAACCGCTCTGACCACTTTCGCTTCTGTTTCTTGCTGCCCTCTCGGCATCGCGACGCCTCGTCTTTGATTCTTGTCCACATCTTCCGATTATAAATCCCAATTTAAATACGAATAAAGGAAGTCCGATGCCTGTATTTAAAAAAAAGCATCCTCGACTTACCTGAAGGAGAACCATCTGGTTTGAAAACCAGGTCTCAGAATGCTCTTCAAAAGCAAAATTCCCGTTTGATCCTCTGGCTGAGAAATGTAAAATTCTCTACCGTGTGCTTCCATTTCCAGATGTCATTGGTGAACGGAAATGCAGATGATCCTATGAGTGAACTCATCCTCTTCCCAATCTCCGCCCTGCTTGAAGTGAGTGTTTCGCCTGTTGCCATTTGGATCGCGCGTGCTGGGTCGTGTGAACGTTTTCATTTGGGTATGCGGCTGTTTTCAAGTTGGTTTTGTTCTGTGCTTCACTGGAAACATCAAAGTCGTTGAACTTGTCGACAATTGAAAGCCTGGGAGGCGACAGAGCGAGCGTATAAGAGTATACGAGCGTTCCTCTTAATATGATTAATAATGCAAAATGTTGGCACTATGACATGCATGATAATTAGCACTTCTTTAAACTAACTAATACATGATGGAATCTCCCGAACATGCTGAATTATTCGATCGTACATCGCTGCGAAACCGTCTCTCATGCTTACACTTCGACCTATAAATAGCGCTGCGAGACAGCTTCGTGCGGCAAAGCCAATCGATTGATAAAACAATGGTCCCATGATATACTTCCGGTCGAAATGGGTTGCCTGTTTGCAGCATTACGGATACTATTGACCCTCAATCAATATTGGGGAGAAGAATGCATACGTGCACCTGGCGGATTTCTTTGAATTTCTCTCGACACAGTAGGAAAATCAGATTCCTCCCTCGAACGGGAGACTCGCCAGAGAGAACAATGCAAGCAGGCGAGACCGAGGATATGCTTCTGCACGCGGCAAAGGAGGATTCGTGCGTGTCGAGGCTTGCCATCGCCTTCGAGTCCTTATGTTCGGCAGGAACCATTATTCGCGGGAATGTTCAAAGTTCTGTTCATTCTGTTGTTCAAGTATAATCTGTTGCTGCAACCGGTCATAGATATGAGGTCTTGTCTATTTGTTGATTCGGAAGGTTGGAACCCTTTCAGAAATATGTTTATGAAGAATTCGTTCCCCCCCAATGCCTGTCGGAAAAATTTTAATGACTGACTTCATTCATTTTCTATGAAGTTCTGAGGAAGACCAACAGATTGTTTTTATTATGGCATTATTCACGCCAGGGATTATCCAGGACACTATTTCGCTTCAGACAATCGATCTGAAGCGCATTCCAATTATTTGAATGCTATGTGCTCGATTGTTGCAAATCTGTTGTTTCTATGAGAAGCCCCAAAATCGGTTTCTCATATGGCCTTTGTCGAATTCTGTCGGAAATTTCGTGATAAAATTATTCTCGGAAGTTGTCACTTGTTATCAATCGCATTTTGCAACATGCACAACGGCAGCATTTGGTGAGTGGAAACGTTCTAGAGATAGTATCGTAGAAGTAGAAGTGGAGTCTTTGCTGAATGGATCGCCTAGATGGAGCCATGTCTATCGAGTCAGGAGATGAAAAAAAAGTTTCTATCAAGAATTACACGACATATTTCGAAAATTGAATTAAATCGATTTAATTAAAATGTATGATTTGAGTGAGAACATTCTCAGTAGATTGAAGAAGTCATTTGCTCAGACCACCTCTCAAGGATGCCGCAAGAATCCCGTTCGAATGTTGTCAAATCTTTCCAGCTCGCCACATCGGAGGAGGAAGAGCCCCTTGGAATCACCTTCCTCCAGGCTCTTCTTCCTCTTCCTCTTTCTGAAAGGGCTTCAAGCAGAGATTTCGGGACTGGGAACTGCAGAGACGTTAGAGCGTCCGTTTTCATCGACCGCTCGCCGTCGAGAAGATGAGGAAAGAAAAGGTCGTGTCCGTGAAGTTGGTCATGAAGTTGTCCAAGAAGTCGAATCAGCCACGCCTGGTCCACGCTCATGACGTCCTGAATAAGAGCGACACATTATGCATCTTCGTGCAGTTCATATTCAACGGGGATATTCTCGCGGATATGACGATGAGAGGCTACATAACAGAATATTAAGCCTGGTTCAGGCTGATCCCGACCGAGGTTCAATACTTGCACCATTTTAGACGCAGTCATCAAGGCATGAAATGAGGCAATTTCCTTCTCATGATCCCACGATGTCACCTCGAAATTTTATCGCCAGTACGAGACATTGATATTAATCCATGATGCCTTGCGTCCGAACGAGAGCATTAAGTTGCGGTTTTCATCGAAGAGTCGCTCTTTTGATAAAGTCAGTGCACTCTTTCTTCCAGAAAACACGCTAAATACTGTTCTGTCTGCCTTGGACAACTGCATGATCAAAACTGTCGCGTAGACAAGTTGGAGCGAAAGCGATCAAGCGTATTCACTTCCCTTTTCCAGAGAGACGGCTATTTCTGGAAAAAAAAAATGCGACTCCCATCATTCAAACTTCTGTGTTCAAACCAGATGGGGGAGAAATCGAAATCACTTTTTCTCTACATCCGATATTTGTCCGCCGTCACCGTTTCCCGTGTCAAGAAACTCCTTGATGAGCTACAAAATAAGTCTTATTTCAGTAAGATGGGTTAATTCTTGCTTGACACTAGACAAGCAGGAATTTGGCTTTTAGATGAAGCTCACGGCTAAGACCGAACTTCGATGTGTAAATTTTCATTTCGAAAGTTCGTTGCCTCTTCCTCAGTCAAGAAAAAGCCCAAATGAGAAATGAACGACTTTTCACTTTATTCAAGATTGAAGTTCATTCGATTTCGTATCTGTGGATCCAGACGATTCTCAGGCGTTTGGCAGATTGTTGGAAAATGCAGTGACTCAACTATCGTTTCCTAGGAAAATTCACCAGTTCCGGATGCACTTTTTCTCTCAAGACCAGACTTACTCCCTGGTGACAACCTCATCGAATCGCCACAACCTAAGAGCGGTGCATTTCTGACCCCTCCAGAAATGGCATTCCAGGCAGAATGCCGCGCACATGCTTAAAAGCGGCGCCCTCCCCCTCGAAAACACCGAGTCCCAGCCGGTGCGGAGGAGAGGCTTCTACCTGGACAGGAAGATCGGGTCTGGTGCCTACGGGGAGGTCAGACTCGCGAGGCACCTCCCTACCGGTAGCAGATTGGCGGTCAAAGTCATGAGCAAGGAGCGCGTGGGTTCAGAGGAGTTCATGGACAAGTTCATGGTCCGGGAAATCGAATGCTGCAAGAGGATGAGCCATCAACACCTGGTTCGAGTTCACACGATCCTTTATAAAGAGGGATGCTTGTACATATTCATGCAGTATGTACCCAACGGGGATCTGTATCGGTATCTGGAGAACTACGGACCTCTCCCCGAACTGAAGAGCCAGTTCTGGTTCAGGCAGATTCTGGCCGGGATCCAATACATGCATCGCAGGAACTGGTCTCATCGAGATTTGAAATGCGAGAATATACTGGTCACTGCCGCCTACAACCTCAAGATCACGGATTACGGCTTTGCCAAGAAGATCTCGGAACCGGGGAGGGAAGTGAGCAAGACTTATTGCGGTTCCCCGCCCTATTCCCATCCCAACATCGTAAATGCAAAGCCGTACGACCCGATGAAGGCGGACGTATGGTCGTGTGGGGTCGTCTTGTTCATCATGCTCAACGATTCCATGCCTTTCGACGACAGCAGTCGCAAGAAAATGCTAAAGGCCCAGCACAATCGCGATTACCGATTCCGAACTAAAGTAAAGCACCTCATCAGCAAGACCTGCAAGGCGTGCGTGGCCAAGCTTCTAGAACCGGAAGACAAGAAGCAGCTAACCGTTGACGAAGTTGTCCGGATCACGTGGCTCTCGGACGAGTTCTACGTAAAACTGTTGATACAAGCAGGAGTCCCCAAATGGAAACTGAAGAGCCAGCCTTATCCTCGACCTTATTTCAGAAACGCATCCCGACTGGTGGAATCGATCACGCCTCAGCAGAGTGAGAAAAGCTGGAGGACCCTTAGTGAGAACAGCGGCACCCAAGCCTCCGTCGCACGCGAGCCTAAGAGTGTATCAGCGAGAAGGAAGAGTCCGACTTCCACGACGACAGCCAGTAAGTGATGGCGTGAAGATGTTCCCGGGTCCCGTTTGCTTTCAAGCTGGTCATCGATCGTGGTGGTGATGACTGAAGCGATTCTTGCAAAAATCGGGTCAACAAGGTCATCCAAGTTGACATGTACGAAGCCATGTCTCCATGCCTTCGTCCCTCCTCTTTTTCCTCTCCTTCGTGTCATTACTGCACAATTTCTTCACACCGGATGAATAAACAGTCTCGCTTCAATAGGTTGGCGGTCTTGATTGGTGTCTCAGAATTGGCGTTCCAAGGGGCACATTGACCGATCAATCTAAATTCAAGGTATTTTATTCTCCATCAATAAAATTGCAAGTGTCGTATTATAGAGTTACTTGAAAAATAAGACAATCATGAACTTGGTTCATGTGTGATTGGACTACTGCAACCATATTTCAGTGCCTATCTGAGACTTGAATTAAGACAGGAGACGAGGCAATTGAAAATCCAGAATGTTGCACGAAGACGTTGCAAAAAGGGAAGGAAGACTTGCCATGTGACACGGCTTTCACTCTGTGTATACGCGACACAGATAATCCATGTCGGGGGAAGAAAGGGGGAGTCGAGACGAAACCCTCGGGAAACTGGGCTACACGTTGGGCGAGACGCTGGGTCGAGGGGCCTTCGGGCTCGTCAGGGTCGCCTGGTACGACAACGGCAGGAACAGGGTGAAGCTCGCCTGCAAGATCACCGATGCCGATAGGTGCTCGGAACGGTTCATGAGGAAGTTCTTCCCTAGGGAACTGGAATGTTGTTGCTACATGCGACACCCGAACGTGGTGCGAACACATAGTGTCCTTCGAAGGCGGAACGAGATCTTCGTCTTCATGCAGTTCGTCCCGAATGGGAACTGTCTTGCTTACCTCGCCAAAAATGGAAAGCTTTCTGAGTACAAGGCGCATTATTGGTTTCGTCAGGTCATCTCGGGGCTTCAATACATGCACGACAAGCGCTGGGTTCACAGAGACATGAAAGTTGACAACATCTTGTTGACCAAGAGTTGGAACTGCAAGCTGGCAGATTTTGGTTTCGCCAGGACTTTAGAAAGTGAAACTCAGAGCGAAACCTACTGCGGTTCTCCCGCCTACAGTCACCCGCGGATCCTTGCCCGGAAGCCCTACGACCCTGCCCTGGCCGACGTCTGGTCCTGCGGCGTCATCCTCTTCGTCTTCCTCGAGGGATCCCTGCCCTTCAGAGGTCGCGGGAACGCAAGGGTCCTCCACAGGAAGATGATGAATCGGGACTACGAGCACAAGGCCGACGTCACGGATTCGGTCAAGGACCTCATCTCGAAGCTCCTCCAACCGGTGCACGAGAAGCAGCTGGACCTGAACGGCTGCATTCGGCACCCATGGATGTCCTCCGAGAACTATCGAAGCCTGTGCAAGCGCGAGGGCTTTCACGACTCGGACGCGATTCCTCCGATGCCTCGATTTGATGTTCCTCGATTGAAGGAATCTCGAGATGTGGCTAAGGTCGCTTCTAATTTAAGGCCGTCCACCGGATCTGCACATCCTACTTCTGCATATCGTGTCTCTGCACATCCTGTTCCTCAATAATAAAATGAGATAAACTACAAACGGTTGCCAAGTTTAAATATAACAGCTTTTGTGAGATTTAAATAAAGAATTTTTTGGGGGGGAGGGGGGCTGGTACTCATTGTAATTGAACTAGAGCATAACTATCGCAAACTGCAAGAGTTTCATGTATCGTTTGTTAGTTCTCCAGCTAGTTCTCCAGCTCTGCAGCTCCAGCAGGTTAGTTCGCCAGCTATGAGATACCGAATGGCGTCTCAAAGCGGCATGTAAAATGAGACCTATTTTTCCCTTTCGTCCCCCCGTAGAGGTAGCATCCGAGAATGCCGACGAAAGAGCGGAAAGACCCGGCCAGCCGAGACGAGACCTTGAAGACGTACGGCTTCACCTTCGGAAAGCGACTGGGGGCCGGGGCGTTCGGCGTCGTCAGGGTCGCCGAGTACCGCGACGCCAAGTCGGGCAGCACCGAAAAGCTGGCCGTGAAGATCGTGAACAAGAACCTCTGCTCGGAACGCTTCGCCTCCAAGTACTTACCCCGGGAGATGCAGTGCGGCACCCAGATGAACCACGCCCACGTCGTGAGGACCCACACCATCCTCCAGCGCTACGAAGAGATCTTCATCTTCATGCAGTTCGTCGGGAACGGGACGCTCTACGATTACCTGAAGAAGTCCGGGAAGTTGCCGGAGTACAAAGCCCAGTTCTGGTTCCGCCAGCTGTTGTCGGGTCTCCAATACATGCAGAGACTCCGGTGGTGTCACCGAGACATCAAGGTCGAGAACGTGCTCGTGTCTTCGGGGTGGAACCTAAAGATCGCGGATTTCGGCTTCGCCAAACGGATCAGAGACAAGAAAGAGCTGAGCAACACCTACTGCGGAACTCCGCCCTACAGCCACCCGAACATCATCGGCCGGAAGCCCTATCGACCCTACCAGGCCGACATGTGGTCCATGGGCGTGTGCCTGTTCGTCCTCTTAGAGAACACCCTACCTTTCCAGAGGTTCAAGGAAAAGACGCAGCTCCACCAAGACCAGCTGGGCAAGAAATACGCTCACAAGAGGAAGGATCTATCTCGCAGAGTGCTCAACCTCATCGACGGGATGCTGGAACCGAACGAGAAGCAGCTGGACTTGGAACGGACGATCGCCCACGACTGGATCGGGAAGGACTTCTACAGGAAGCTGTTGGACGGGGAAGGCATCGAGGTGGGGGGCGGGGAACTTCCACCGCCGAATTTCGACATGGGGAAGGAGGGGAAGGTTCTGGCGGGGTGAGGGACTCCGTCCGTATCCCAAACACTTTTTTTTGGTTTTCGTGATGGGCGCTGATGCCTCGTTTCTTCGTTGGAATGAAATCATGTTGCGGTACTTCATGATGAGGGTGAAGTTATCATTCGTGAGGGCTATGGCAGACTTGGAATCTCTCTCTGGCAGACAAGCGGTATTTTATAGCGTCCCTATTCTCCTTGCTGTGAGAGACTCTCCCGTTCAGGAGATACTGAGAAAAGAAGGACTCTTACGAGGACCAGCAGGTTCGCTCGTATACGAGCCGAACCTTACCAGAGAGTCCAAGGACCTCATAGAACCATAAGACGATCGATTCGACGTGGACCGTAGACCAAGAAGAGAATCAACAAGACATGGCCGGAAAAGAACGGTATCCAAGCAAAGGCAACCTAGCAAACTTGATGCCGACCCAAGCCCAAATTCGACCTAACAGTTTGCGCCTAAATCATGGAATAATTTGCATCCTGAATCCATTGGAACACGTAAAATGGACGACAATATTAATAAATCTCGAATGTCTTTCTCATACTGCCATTGATCGTTTCATCTTCTCGAGAGAAACATTGAATTGCATGTGATGTTCCCGTTTTATGCCCATTCCGAATCCAGTTCAGAGTGTGTCTGTTAATAGCTTCAACAGGAAAATCTCATTTTTCTTCAGGTGTCCAGGGGTAAGCCTCTGTTGAATCCTCATGCTTTTGTAAAGAATTAAATTATAAAGGAAATGATGCCGCAACGGAAGGAACTTGGCAACCTGCAGTGTCGCACAGCGACCCTTTCGAATTACGGCTTCAAGATGGCAGTATAATGGCAATATAAGACAACAATTTGTGCCTGGGGGCGCCAAGATCGATAACACTCTCAAATCGACCGGCTAAAACCTGAAATCAGGTGACTAAAACTTCGAAACAGGTCTAAGACGAGACGGAGAAGAGCGAAATATTCCCTAGTAACCCGAAAGCTGGTCGACCGTGGTCTGTCGTTTCCTCTCGCTAGGAGGGAGTCCCATTCAAAAGGTGAAACGATCCGTGCATCCGGTTCCACCGCAGCAAGAATCTCAGCTCGGACAACACTGTCCGTAAAGCTATGGGTCTGTGGGTTTCTCGTCATGGGGAAGATCCCCGGCTGTTCTGGGACTCGCAGCAGCGATTACGTCGATCGGCTTGACGAGGAGGGAGCGAAGTTCGAGGATGGCTCCCCTCCGATCCAAAATGTTCATCCCGGAATCGATACGGTTGTCGAATGCAGATTCCAGTCGACTGAACCGTCTCGTCTCACAGCTTTCTCAAAAAGGGATCTCAATAAGCCTCTTATAAGAACTTTGGGTCTCTGCTCGTGAGTACTTCTTATGCGAGGGGTCGGGGGGCAAATCAGTAGGAAAGTATACACCTACGTTTGTAGCAACCAAAAGTCGAGCACGATAGGTCAGTTCTGATGGGGTATAACTGATGGTCTTATGACTTGGCCTGGAGTTAACAATTCGCTGGGTCTGTGCAGTTCGCCAAGGACTGCATTGTCATGCGGGAAATCCCCCTGCGTTACAATAGCTTCCCTTCCGCCACCTGGGAATCTGGGCTTGAAGAATCTTCAGTGGAGCCAGACTTCGTTCGTGGCAATGGGAGGAGGGTGGGACGAGGGTGGGACGAGGATGAGAGGAGGGTGGGAGGAGGGAGATGCAGGGAGTAAAGCTGAGATCAACATCGAAGGAGATTGGGGACCTTAACCGCTATCCATCTGTCTGTGGCTGGGCTGAGTCCTTTTAATTCATTTCTTCGGAAGTTTCGAAGGAAAACGCATTCACTGTGAGATGCTTCCATCTCGACCGAGAACTCTCATTTGGCGATCAGCTTTGGGGAGGTTTCATGCAAGAAATCCGCCCCCGGAAATGGGGCATGACTTCTATAGTCAACTGGAATCTTCATTATGCTTTTATTGTATAAATGATCCTCACCTAGTTCAATCATTAAGCAGAAGTACTTCTCAAGTATTCAGGATATAAATAGATAAGGGAGTCCACGATAGAGGTTACAGTAGTCATGATTTTTGCATTTGCTGTAAAATTTAATTTTACTTTCCGTTTCCATTCGAAGAAGCGATCAAAACGTTCGATTCTGGCGAAATTTGCTCCAATCAGCACTCAGTGGTTTGAAAGCTCGATAGGAGGACGTGTGTGTTGGATGGAGACTTGACCTTGCATTAAATGAAAACCAGTTTTGAAGACTTTTCAAGTAAGGGTTCGGACTTCAGGTAAACGTAACTTCGTCCAGGTGAGAAGTTTTTCAACAAAAATAAGCTTAATCGAAAGATCTCGTTCAGAGCTTCATGGCTTAGGGCCAAAAGTGCTAGATGGAGATGTCCGGAAGAGGAGGGAATGCGCATCTATACAGCTTCAGTAGTCGTGGAGGCACGTGTTCCTTCTTCCTTATCCAGCATCTTCATCCAGATCTAAGCTACATTCCTCCCTTTAAGACTTGTGGGATTAGTGCCATTAAAACCTTGTTTCTTTGATAGAAAATGATAGTTTCTTTACAATTTTGTAAAAGATGAAGCGATCTATCGATACATACCACTCTTCTCACTATTAACAAAACGGTCGCTGGAGCATTCACTCTTTCCGTGCAGAAGAAAGATTTCTTGCAGATAGACCACTTTGCCTTATAGACCACTTTGCCCTATAGACCACTTTGCCTTTCGCCCCTTTGATTGCAATCCATGCATCTCGGGGTGCTAGAGCCATTTTCGCGGAACGAGCGCTCTTTTGCGCAGATTGACGGCAGCCTCTGGGAACTTCGTTTGAATTCGTTCTGCGAATGCGAGGCTGCGTGCAATTGCTCGAACGAGAGCGGAAATCGAAAATGAACGGAAATCCCTTCGGAGCGACTCGACTCCCCGTTTCCTGTCGTTTCACGACGAGTTTTTCAAGAAGTCTAGAACAATCGCTCTAATGACTTCATTGGAACAGATGTGGGAGTAATATGACTATCATGTGCCCCATATTATATGGAACTGCGTTGGGAAAGTGTCCTCTCCAGTCCAATTTCAGTTTCTAACTTCTTTCGAATGACTGCAGGAAGTCTTACCTCAGCCATACGAAAGTGAATGAAATTTAACCTTTACCGCTCGATAGACAGATCTTTCCACATAAATTATTTTTCCTTCAAGTATGACATCGTTAAAACAGGACATCGTTAAAACTGGCATTGTTACTTGCTGTTCCAAGCTTTGTTCTTTTCGGCCGGTGCATAAAATTCAATTTTTTTAATGAAGCGAATATTTGTTGCTGTGTCGCTGCTAAATGTGTCGACACCTAACTGCTTCACGGATGCGACGAAACTCGAATCCCGAAACCTCGCAATGTGCGAGAGAGAATATATGGCGCAGAAAGAGACAGACGCGCACGAGTGACGGTCATGTGACGGTCATGTGACGGTCACGGATCCTGCGCAGAAACTCAGGTCCTGCAAGGTCGGTTTTCATTCTCGTTCCCTTCTTCGTTTCAGTCCATGCAAACGCCCAGTTTATCAGAGGGAACTGGAACTGCAACATCAGGTTAAAAAAAATTTTTCATCCTTATCCCGATTTTGTTTGTTTCCTTATTCCACGTGTCAGTTTCTTTCGCATCCGGTTGTCCTGCGTTTATCGCATGGGATTTTCCGCAGCTTTCCCCCGAAGTAGATCCGTTTTAATTTTTTTCCATACAGTTTTTCCACTGCATGGTGTCGCTGCGTTAAACCGTCGAAGTCGTGCATTTTTACCTTCGATGCTGCGAAAGAACTCCTCTGCCTTCTTTTTAATTCAGCCCACTCTTACGACTTCGTGGTTATCGATCTTTTTTTTGCACGTGCGATGTCCACAGGTAAAATAACCACCATGAGCAGGATGTCGATGTTGACCCTGGTCCTCTTGAGCCTCGCGTCGTCCTCGCTCGGCCGTGAGTGGGAAGTCATCGAAGATCGCAGGAACCCTCACCGGTCCTTGGAGATCGCCCAAGGGACGTGGAAGGAGATACCCGGCGGCCCCCACCGTCGCGTCAGACCGCCGCGGACTCGCCCCGCGACGCGAGACGACGACACCACGGTGAGTTTTTCGTCGGTTTACAGAAGGGCGAAGGAGGAACTCCTCGGATGCCCGTAGAGATCTCGCGACAGCCGTCAATGGCGAGAAGTTATACGCGTCATTTACGTGATGAATGCCGGTGATTAGGACACTTCCTTCCCCTCGATAGAACCACGAAGAAAACTCCCCCTTCTTCGTGCACGGATGGACTCGATTGCCGATCACAAGCGCTTAATGTTTGGATAGTTCCGTCTCGATTGCAGCAAGTTTTTTATTAATTAATTAAAGTGAGTCATAAGTTTATCAGCAATTAGTCGTCGATCACCACGCGCAATAACTAGACCGGAGATGGGCAAGATGAAAGCATGATTTTTAACTTTTAATGGAAGTTGCATCGTTAAATTTTGTTTTCATTTCGCATGAGAGAAAAAAAAAATCAGATTATCATATTACCTTACTTTGCGAATAAAGCAAACTATTTCTTTTTCATTTATTTTATGGGAATCATAACGGAAAACATGAGGCACTGTTCGTCATACAATCATGTAACTGACTGCCCGAACGATAAAAAAAAAAAGCTTCTGCCTCTTGCCTCGTGGCTACTCCATAGCAAGTGTTACCGGTAACAAACAGAGGCTCATTCGGCGTGAAGAGTGGTACCTTGTTTTGAATCCTTAATATATATAACAGGAAGTTTAATATTTTCACTCAACATTTATTTTTCATTCTATATTGAACTGAACGAACTTTAATCGAGTATTATATAATCTGAGTAGTGGTGCAACTGGCAAATTGGCTGTGATGAAAGAAGCGACCATCACGGGACTTAAATCGGAACCGTTTGGGATTTGAAAAGTTATATTAAATTAATTATTGCGTTGAATTTTGGATTCCAATTGCTGATTGGGCACTTACATGTAGACGAAGACTGAGTGCTCCCGTTTCTTAAGGTTTAACGTTCGCATATGGTATAAGGATGTGGTATGTCGTAAAATATGTTTAACTCTGGTATCGATGGTATCGACACAGTGGATTATTAGAACCCTTGACGAGCTGCAAGGTGTGACATGGCAAGAGCCTTCTTTTGCCTCGAGAACCGAATTCTCTCACTAGAGTAAGATATTGTATCACTTCCTGTCGAAATGTTTATTCCTTATCAGAATCACTTGCTCCTAGATGCAAGATACTTCTTGGAACACTACACTAGGTCTTTGCAATGCTCGAACGTAATTCATCGCTTCTGATTTGGTTCACGGGGCTTGCCCTCGCTTATACAGCAAGGGCTGATCGAGCAGTTCGGATACCCGGTGGAGACGCACACGGTCACGACGGCGGATGGTTATATAATAGACATGCACAGGATCCCGTATGGGCTGAGTGGTCCGGGGGAGGGACCGAGGATCCCTGTCCTCCTTCAGCACGGCCTTCTTTGCTCCTCCGCGGACTGGGTCATCAGCGGACCCGAGAGTGGACTCGGTGAGTCCTTCTTTCCTATTCTCGTCTCCAACAGAATGTCGTTCGAGGCCAATCGAATGACGACCAAAAACTACACTCATGACGCAGGCTAAACTTGTGACTCGTGACAATGAAGGAAGTTTGCCGGGGATAGCTTGCGAGTCATACATTTTGGCATGTTTCCGTTCGGAGTCTGTTCGAAAGGATCTATTTAATGAATGGTCCTGCCGACTCTCGATCAGAAAGGTTTGACATTGAAGGACTGGATGGAAGAGAAGAGCAGTTTTGATTGCACGAGCTACCATTGCATTCGATGTTTCCTGGTCGTCTGACTTTGCAAATGATATTTGGCCTCCATGCATTTATTTTCCATATTCGGCTCATCCACGAAACGTCAAAAACTTTTTTTTCTAAACGTTTTGGAATACACACTAGTTGTCTTTTTCATTCTATTTTGTTTCCTTTCACGATCTTCCAGGTTTCTTATTGGCTGATGAAGGCTACGATGTTTGGCTGGGCAACGTGAGGGGAAACACCTACGGCCGACGGCACGTCAGCTTGTCCCCTGGCGATGATGATTTCTGGACCTTTAGGTATCACAGCACTTACATTTGGGGGAAAAAATAACTTCCAAGTAGTGTAATTCCCCCCCCCCCCTCTCCCCCCAAAATGTAAATATTTTCATGCTCATGCAGTTGGGATCAGATGGGAGAGTTGGACCTACCTGCGATGCTGGACAAGATGTTGGAGGTGACTGGCCAAGACAAATTCCATTATGCGGGCCACAGCATGGGCACGATCATGTTTTGGGTCATGAGCGACATGAGGCCCGAATATCGAGATCATTTCCTGAGCATGCACGCAATGGGGCCCGTTTCCAGGGTTGATCACATGATGAGCCCTATTGCAATCATCGCTCCCTGGGTTGATGAAATCCAGGTTCGACCGAAAATTGAAAACAATATCCCTCGGACTTTCGAAGTTTGGCTGAATTCAATGTGATGTTAATGAGGGGCTTGATGATATCGAACTGGTTCTGGCACTACGAATTCTCACTGCCCAAGAGATTGGCAAGAGATATGGGGACATTTTTGGCTGCAGGCTTGAGCATATGCGAGAACATCTTATTTTTCTGCTGTTACGATTCCAAGCAATCGAATGCGGGTAGGACAAGCTAGGAGGAAAATATCAGCATACGATACTTCTAGGCAAGCTGCTGGAGTTTCTTAATCTGCAAGGGAAAACTGTTGCATTGTTGGGAGAGAAGGAAAGAAATGTTTAGGGCAAAAGAAGGAGCCAATGCTTCATCAGGAATGACAACGGCTCCGTTATGTTCATCGTGGTTCACTTCTACCATGAACGACAAGGGGCTCAGTGGAAACTTAGGAAACGGTTTTCCACACTTCTACCGCACAAAACGCCCCCCCCCCCCATCCAAAAAGTTACACTCTGCAATTCCTCAACTGCAAGCGTTTATGTTCGTGGTATTTGAGCAAGAAGGAGATAATAAATAAATTGGGGAATTACATGAGGAAAGACATTTTGAATGGTTCAGGTTTTCGCGATACAATTTGCACTGATTCCGGCGCAAATCACGCGTAGTTTTTTCCCCTCGAATTCCTCTTCAGTTTGAGGTCGTGAGCTTGAATTCCTCCTTGAAAAGTTCATGAATTTGGCGTGATGAATACATGAATGAGTACATGTGGATATGTATGTATTGTCTGTACCATAGTGGTTGTTGGAGATGCTGGGACTTCACGAGTTTCTGCCGAGCTCCGCTTTCATGGATTTGTTGGCTTCCCTCGTCTGCGATGACTGGAGTCTTCCGGCCGTCTGCTCTTCCATCCTCTTCCTTCTCTGCGGCTTTGACGAGGCGCAACTCAATGAAGTAAGCATGAAGATTGATGCTTTCTTTCTTTCTTCCTGGTTTCATCAGAACCGGGAAAGTTGCTGTCATACCTAAATCCGATATTAACGAAATAGGGGGACATTTGTTGAAGAAGGATTTTTTTTCCTGTTTCTCTCTCGGAGTAGGACTTTGTCGATTGTATTCTGTAGACGATGCTCCCGCTGATCCTGTCCCATACGCCAGCGGGGACATCCACGCAAAACCTCGTACATTTCGCCCAAGAGGTGAATGCAGAAAAATTCCAGCATTACGATTGGGGAAAAGATGGAAACCTGGAACACTACGGCCAAGAGGAGCCACCTGAGTACGACCTATCCAAGGTCAACGCGGCGGTCTTCCTCTATTGGGGCCAAAACGACTGGCTCGCCGCACCTGACGTATGTCCAGCTGCGATTTCCCATATTTTTTTTTGTCTCTTTCTCATTTTTGACCGAGAATTTCTACTCTGGAATTTCTTTTCTCAGGACGTGCAATGGCTATCGGAGCAATTGCATAGCTTGATCGGGAACTTCCGCGTGGATTTTGACGACTGGAACCACCTGGACTTCCTCTGGGGCATCGACGCCAAGATACTCGTGTACGACAAGTTAATTGAAATGATGAAACTTTTTGACCCGTAACTGAGAAATAATCGAAACATGATGGAAACAGAAAACGTATTTTTTCCTTTAATGCAGAAAGATCTCTCTTGGCCTCGGAAGCACGAATTCGTCTGTCTTCGTTGCGTTCACAGTCGAAGTTGTCGGAACCAACGAAGGGACAACACATTAAACAATACATATTTTGACATTTTAAAATATCATGTCGTACCAACATGGAATAGCAAACGACGCCCTCAGATGTCCCACAGGGCGTCCTCCTCTTTTCCTCTATTTCCTCCATTTTCAGTCTTTGAGGGGAGCAGAAATTTATCCCCCCCCCCCCCCCCCCCCCCCCAGCCCCCCCGAGTGATCGACGGAGCCATCAGAAAGCGGAAAGCGGACTTAGGTTAACATTGGAAATGAACTGCAAACGGACCAATGCCGTCCTCGTGTCGCGAGGAGTCAGTGTCCAGTCTACAGGGTCGTGCAAAAGTTCCCGTACACTTTGATTAGCGCTTCGATTCTCTATAGGCGTCATAGCTCCAGAGAAAAAAATTCAAATAAAGACTGAAATTTACTATAATGAAAACATTTCGTACCAAAAATGTCCGTAGAATTAAAAAAAAATTCACTTCAGAATCGCCAAAAATCCGTTGATTATTGAAAAACTTAGATTTTTAAAGTGTACGGGAACTTTTGCACAACCCTGTATGTCCTAAATGGGGAGAAAGATGCACGGTTCTTGCTTGATGGAACCGTGGTTTCGCGGCTCAATAAATGCCGATCTTTTGCCGAGTGCAAGGTCTTTCGATGGTAAAAACGGATGGTGCCTGGAGTTCAAGACTTGAAGGACGGGCTCTGGGGTCACTAGCACGTGACGAACGAAAATCTCCTCATCTCGAGGAAATGGAATGCAGAATGGAATGGAATTAAATTTCTGCTCCCCTCAAAGACTGAAAATGGAGGAAATAGAGGAAAAGAGGAGGACGCCCTGTGGGACTTCGACCTGTAGTTACCAGACTCATTGTTGAACGGGAAACGCATTTCCTATTCCCGGCGGACATTTTGTCCATTGGGGTAATGCTCCTCCGAAAATGGAAGGCGAAACCTCTTTTAAAGGATACCGGAATCTAGACAATCTGTTCCCAACATACGGATTGTGACCCGATCCTTGGTCAACCTGAGGTTTGTCTTGGGTCCCACGTGGTCTAGAACGCAGGTAACAAATGTTCCGTTTTGTTATGGTGATTTCCCACCTGTATAATTTTTCATCAGTCAACAACCTTCTCTATGGATCACGTGGTCTCGAATAGCTCCGCGAAAAAAGGTGGGGAACCGCACGCCCATGCCCAGATTCGACGGAACTCCCCCCACCCCCCACCTCCCAACACACACTATCCTTCACCTAGCCGAGCAAGTGCGGAAGACCTCGTTCGAGTTGTTGACCCTCGACTGCGCCATCAACCATCCTCGGATGCACATAGAAGGCTACAAAACCTCGTGCTGGTAAGAACGGATGAGTCAGCCGCAAAAGACTTCCTATATCTTGCAGAATTTCTGCACCTCCTGCTAACAAAGAGTATTGACGCTGACGGATCCTATTTTAGACCCTGACCGTAAGCATGTCTCATATTATAATCACCACCTCAGGACCTACTGAAAAAGGTCGATGGATTTCATTGTATGTTATTGTGGTGATTTATCGATGATTTTTCTTATCTCCTACTGGAGGGGTCGCTTTAGGATGAGTTCCCTTGACCGAGACTTTAGGACCTGGTCCCGACGCTGGGGGAGCCTTGGGTGGCTTCGACTTGAAGACCCTGCTGACGGTTCCCCGAAAATGCTTGACGAACGTGAGTTTCTCGACTCGGGTCTCCTCGTCGCTGTCCTCGGCCGTCATTCGACGCCGGACCTCATCCGGCGAAGGACCGAGGACATCCACGCGACTCAGGGAATAGGCGGATCTCACGGCGACCGGGCCCACCTTCGTCTTCTTCGTCTCCATCTTGTGGGAGGCCGGCGTCTTCCTCGCCTCCATCTTGTGGGAGGCCGGCGTCTTCCCCAGCACCCAGCGGTGCTGCTTCACCTGCCGTGGAAGAGGGGACGGTGGCCGCATTCAGAGATTTTGGGGGGACGAACTCGGTGGTGAAAATCGGTGCTAAATAGAACTCATTTTTGAAGAATTCAGCATCCATCATTTCTAACGAAAGCTTCAAGAGGTGAAGGATATTTAAAAAACGAATGGGAAATGGAAGAAAGTGGAAAGAAACTTAAAAATAACATAGGGTCTAGTTGAAATGTTTCACTAATTGGTTTTTAAAAAATCTGAGTAAATCGAACAGTATGAAAATCATTCACGAGGAAAAGAAAGTCGGAGGGGAGTCGGAGGGAGACACAGAAATCCAGCTGGAACATTCTCATTCCTTATTTTTCGAAAAGAGCTCGCTAAAATTCACAAGGGGTGGGGTGGAGCTCCACTTTACCTGATTGGCACTTGGCCTCCGAAACGTATCGGGTTCTAAGATTCGATGGATCAAGTCCTTCGCGGACGCGCTGAACTCGACTGCGAACCGATAACCGCGAGCCTCTTGGGCCGCGATCTGCTTGTTGAGATCCGTCTCGACGAACGGCATCCTCCCTTCGAGGAACACGAAGAGGATGATTCCCAGGGACCAGACGTCGGACGGGAGCGGGTCGTAGGGCACGGTCTTCAGCACCTCGGGGGCGGCGTAGGGGGCGGAGCCGCAGTACGTACGACTCAACATTCGGCGTCCCGTGCCGTCCACGACGAACCGCGAGAAGCCGAAATCCCCGACCTTGAGTCGATCCGGCGCGAAGACGAGCACGTTCTCGCACTTGAGATCCCGATGAGAGATCTGCCTCTCGTGCAGATAAGCCACGGCCTCCAGGACCTGACGGAACCAATCCCTCGCCTGCCCCTCGCGAAGCCTCCCCCGCCGCTGCAGGTAACTCAGCACGTCGTCGTCTCCCAGCTCCATGAAGATGTAGACCTTGTGCTTCCTCTCCAGGATGCTGTGCGTCTTCACCACGTTCTCGTGGTCCACGATCTTCGCGATCTCCAGCTCCCTCGGGAAGAACTTCTCCACGAACTCCACCGGCAGCTTCCGCCGGTTCACGATCTTGCACGCCAGCCTCGTGACGTCACCTCCCTCCGCCTCGTACTCCGCGAGGCACACCGTCCCGTACGTCCCCGTCCCGAGTCTCTTCCCCATGGCGTAGCCGGCGGACTGCAGGACCTTGCCGTCGCGTTCCGTGAAGGGCAGGATCTCGAGGACGGACGTGCTCGTGCTCGCGACCGTGCCCGACACCGTCTTCACCATGTCGATGAGGTCGCCCGCGATCCGTCTCATTTGCGGCGTCGGTCGATTCCACTCTCTCCTCGAGGAGCGCCGATCGTTCGGTCGAATCGGGAAGTCGCAGAAGGGAATTCCGAGCTCGAAAAAAAATTGGGCAAGTGTTTCGTCACCAGGACGACACATGCACTGTTGAATGCAGGAGCAGGCGAATTCAAATCGTTTTTCGACTCGATAAAATTCTTTCGCGAAAAAAGTAGATGCGATGACTTTTTCGTTTCTACTCAGACTTGAAGGACTCGCATATGATTCGAGAATCAGATACGAGGGTACGAAGATTTAAATCATGAGAGATTTAATTTCATCCTCGCAAGCCGGATTGGTCTCACGGGTCAGAAACCTCGCGCCGTCAGATTTCTTGCTCCTTCATGCACCAAAGAGTGAAATGGTAGGCTGTAAGCCATTTTCAATAGACAGATGATTATCGGGCAGAAGTTACCCGCTGGCATTGCCAATCGAGGAAATTTGTCCTATCTGGTTTCTTTCTGGTTTTTAGTTGGGAAAAAATATTGTGTAGTTTCAGAGGAGTACGTGAAAATGGCACATGTGGACTGGGTATAACATGTCTATTCCCAAATGGTAAGTTTATACCAAAAGAAATCTATTGGACACCCATTCAAGGACACTTGGACATCCACTGGATATCTTCCTAAGACATCCAGTGGATGACTGAATGTCTCGTTCAAGGATTATCATATGACAAGTCGATTGGATGGCCTATTGGATGTCCTTTTTCAGATGCATACTATATAGATCCCATAATGAATCTGGAGAATCAGTATGGGATCGCCATTGGATGATCATTATAGGTCCCCTATAATAATCCCCTAGGTCGCAATGGAGCATCCTCCGTTCGTCTGCCGATTGTATTGCAAAATTAAAATTCGCATGCAAACGTGTACTCAGCGCTCTCAAGGGCAAAGGAAAAGGTAGCGTTTCCATATCTCGCAGCCTTAAACCTTTCCTTTCCGTATAGATCCCGATGGGGAAATGAAACAGAAGAGTTATGACTACAGGTAAAGCGAACTTCTGTAAATGAGTCCCTTCAACTTCGACCCTAAACATGAACCTTCTAATTCTTTTATTTTATTTTATAAAATTAGGAGCTAAAGGTATGGTGGGCCCCGCTGTCATGTGGTGGACCGACACA